GAAATTGATAACGGCACACTATCACCACATTATCACTCACCATTAAAGGGAGGTTTGCCGGCAAACAGTGAAACACAAGTAAGATGGCTTCTGGACTTGACACCAAGCAGTTCTGCCAATAGGCAATAGATGATATCCACATTGCGCGACGTTCAGGATCTTTTGAAATCAGTGGAATATTACTGAAGATCCATTTCGTTGTCTATACTATACGTACAGCCAACAGAACAACGAAATAACCATTTTCAACAGCCAAACGAAACGCAAACGTATAATCCGACTTGCAACTGACAGGAGCCAAATGGACGTTTTTGTTTTATTGCCGTCCAGTAACAATGTCACGTGACCCGTGCAAGTCCTCTATAAAACAGATGCTGAAAGTATTGAAATTCCGACGTATAATCAGCTCTAATAATCCATGTCTTTTATATATAAGGAGGGGCAGAAATGTTCAAGAATCTTTAGAAATATTAGCGGTCGGCAAAATTTTTCGAGTCGGGAGCCAGAATTACCATATTAATGTCTCCTGCATAATTCTAACTTACAATTGAAAAGCAAAATCAAAGACGTTCGGTTACTATTACGGTTACGGTCATATTTTTATATATTAACTCTTATTAAAACTTACATTTACTGATGCTTAACCAGTATAGCCTAATTGCATTCAGTGCTTAAATACTATTTTTATCATACTATTTTTACTATACTATTATCATTTAATACTTATTCAAATTTTTAGCATGTAAATGATTGGAATACTCATATTTGCTTGATCCTGTAAAAAAAACTGTGACCGTCCTCAAATAAATTAATTAAGTGACTATTTATTCCCAGTAAATAAATATTTCAAGCCTGTACTTCATAAGCCTAATTATTTTTTGAATTTAATATATATGATATGTTAGTTTCATTCACTTATATTGAGCGACTCAATGAAGAGTTGTTGAATCATGGTGTATTTAAAGCCCATTTGCAGTGGGACTATACATTATTCATCCAAACTGCCAAATTTTCTTGGAGGAGATTATGACTCCAATTCTGCCGCACTCTTCAAGACTTTGTTTGGCCTCTGTTCGTTTATCTGTATATTAGTGATAATCGTTCAATTGTCACAATTGTTCATAGTAGAATGAATTTTGGTGCTTCCGTAGTATAAGCACCAAGATGGCGCGCAACCTGGACATAGTATATGCACCAGGTTAGGGTTCAGCTTGTGAGCCATTTCGGTGCACTTTCTACGGGAGCGCCTGAATTTACTGTTTTGTTTATACAACTCAAATCATCAATCATAACAATCATTCGCATAATCACTGTTTATAGTTTATTGCTAGTGTTACTTGGCTATGCAAACTATAGTCCAGAGATGTGTCCACCTTTATCACAGGAGGTCCAAATTCAAGTAATTGGGTGAAGCCGCGGGACGCACTTTTTCATGCAAGATATCATTTATATTAGTTTCAGGCTCAAAATATGTTTTTGCTAGCTAGTTTTGCTAATATGACAGTGGCACTCGGGTACTGGTACAGGCTTTGCAACTCAAACAGATTGAAATTGCTCGCATGTACCATATTAACTAAATCATAAACTTGTTCCGCGGGCACATCATTAAAAATTGGCACATCTCAGCGGGCTGCACAATATTTCCTTGCGGGCCTCATTTGGCCCGCGGGCCGCACACCCCTGCTCTAGTCCAAATGTGGCATTAAGGGATGCCCAGAAAATTTAAATATCCGATAAAGAGGCATAGTTTTCGTCCCATAGTACATGGGAATTAGCCAATCTCCTGATCAGACCAAATATTTACAAAATATTTTCTGGTCAAAGCTCGCTACCTCCCTGTTTGTATTAGATCAAATATAAATGGTTTTACCTTAATAACATGTGTAAAATGTGGGCCAAATATTGTCATATTTTGTACTCAGATTTTAAAAAAGCATTTTTCATTCAAGAACAGACTAAACTCGTTCACGAGATTCCATTTTTCCCAGATGCAGTATTCCAGAATTTATAACCGCTTATAAATATTTGGACCTCCTGAAAATAGCGCACAACCTTAACTCAGGTTGTGTACCAGGTTAGGGTTCAGGTAATGCGACATTTTGGTGCGCATACTTCAGGAGTACCAAATATTTTTACTGTGAACATATTACAATTGGTGCGACTATAAGCAGAATGATCCCACTACTTGCATAGCACTCTCATTCAGATTGACTGTGTTCAATATTTGTTTGCAAATTTATCAAAGAAATGCATCTATGGAATCAATTTGGAAATTTTGTAGTGATTTTGCAAAGTTACACACTATTCCCAATGTTCAAAACTCCATGCTGCCTTTCATCCATGCATTTTTTTCATTTGTTTTGTACATATGATAAATTGTTAGGTATTTTTTGGTGTCTTCGAACGCAAAATGTTTCCTACAGCTATTTACTTATTTAGATATACACAATCTAGAATCCCAGACCCAGAATTTGCTGCATTCAAATATTTAAAATCAGCTTCATTTATATATATGATATGTGGAGTAAATTCTGGTGATCTCTCAATTACCATAGTTGGACGGAAGAAGTCGTTAGAAGTCTATTACATTTAATTTATCTACCTAAATTTTGTTATTATTCCGTGTGAGTTGTCCACAAATCTTTGCAACAATTGCTTTTACGTTTTTTAACTTCATTTAAAGTTATGCCTGCCTTCCTGGTATCTCTGCATTTGTTTATCAGTTTACTTTTTGTGCTGTTTTGTTCTATGTCTGAGTGACGAAATAAAATGATTGATTGAACATGGTGAGAGCTGACTCTGATGACCTCGTGGTCGTATCGCTCCCTCCAGACCATACCGAAGAAACTTTATTTCTACTGTTTTATATTTGTTATTATCACCATCGTATTTATGTTTTTTTTTTTATGGTTAAAAAATAATAAATCTCTTTCTCTCTCGCTGTCTCTCTATACAACACAAAAACAAAACCATCCGCTTCGGGTTCAATAAATTGGCGCGGCGGTGTGGCTCCTCGTGCTAATAGTTAAGAATACGCTCGCCACCGCACCTCTAATTACTCTGCGTCGGTTCGCAGGTTCGAATCCCATGCGGGATGGTTATGTGCAAGAGGATTGCTGGACTCCTCGCCGCCGTAGGGTGGTTCACGTAACCGCTGGTCGGTTACGGCTTCCTCCACCATAAAGTCCATGCTTCCGAAAACAAATAACTAACTAATCTCATACCCGACATGAAATGGTAACCGGACGAAAGGCCGTAGTTCGCGCCATATGGTTAAGCCGTCTTATCGACTTTCCTCTCCCCGGGATAAATATGTAAATCCTTATTCTTTACTTCACGCATATATATTATTTGTAGCTGTTTTGTAACCCCGCTCGATTATCGTTCGATCAAAGGTCGTTTCGCACTTCTCAGTCATTTATTTACTCAACAAATTGTCGCCTCATTATATTGCGAAATTAATCTTTGTAATGTCTATATTGGGTAACATCTATGTAAAGATGACGTTAGTTAGGTTAGAAACAGGATACCGGTACCGGTACCGCCTGTCTGTAATCGATTTTTGTAGTGATCGATATTCAGATACCATACCGTATTCAGAGTTTCTTCAGTGTCAATTCCAGCTGTGTTGTAGGAAGATGAGAAATCCGCTTGGGCATATTTGTTATTTGTCTAGGACAGAAATAATTCTATAACAGTTAATTTTGCACTAGGATATTTATCACTTAGCAGACTGTCATCCAATATATTGGATCAGGACTATCAATAAGAGAATTGAATTGAATATAGAATTGAAATTCAACTGACAGACTGATAGCAGAAACTGCAAATTCTACATGAGAAATAAATGATAATTCGAACAATCTCTTTGTTACGATATATTTATAAAACATTTGTAATGGAACATAATACCTACCCTATATACAGATATAACCAGTGGTGGGATTAAAATTTTTTGTCAGACGGTTTCATCACAAAAGTCATATTTTTCAGCCGGTTCTGTTACCAACTGAACATTGACGGTAATCAGTAAAGCTAACCGGTTCGCTGATCTCGTGAAATTCCTTGAGCCGGTTCTATAGAACCGGTGCGAACCGGCTGAATTCTACCACTGCCTATAACCAGGCCAACTTGCTACATTTTTACACATTCATGGCGTATTAGTGTTTTTGTTTTGTGTGTACCCTTTTTTTAAGAACACTGGGTTCATTAATTACATAAATGTTTACGTGTGATTAGTCAGTTAGCGCTTTTTCTGATAATTATTTTTATGAGTGCCAGTTCACAGAATTTACCAGCATCGTTTTGAATTAAATTTCTATGTATCTTGGACCACTTTATTAGGTTTTCACTGATCTGCTGATGCTAAATTAATGTAGTTTTTATGGCTTTGACCCTTCCTGTCACCTTATCACATTACATTACATCTACACCCGTTGTCTTTGTATCTGATTGAATTGGTTTTATTGGGTTTATTGCAACAGCCCAAAAGTGTAATACATTTGCGTATTATATGTGTGTTCGTTTTTGGCCCGAGCCTTGTCTAACAAGATTTGTGTTTTTCTTTTGTAAAATTGGTAGTCCACTCATCATGTTTTAAACTTTTTTAAAGGTTTTTCTCTCTCTCCAGAATTCTCCATTTTTAATTTGTGGAGTTTTCAAAATAATATCATCTAAGTCGAATGGACCTGGAATATATGGTATTGACGGCGTCTGTGTGTGGTGCATGTAATAAGCGTTAGGAATACCCTCGCCACTTCTCCTCTAATTACTGTGCATGTGGTCACGGGTTCGATGTAGCAAGAGTAAAGATAAGTATTTCAACTTCAAGGTTCTTACTGCACACTAACACAAAATGTATTTCTGCGAGTCTAGTTAAACTCTGTCTGAAAGTGAACCTTTATCGCTTTATGTGTATAATGCAAAAATGCTATAGCAATAGTGAAAATGCCTAATCTATATATTTTAAGAGTCCTGCTGCACACTAACACAATTTTATTCCTGTAACAGATTTTATTTATATATTTTTATAAATTGTTTTATTATTATAATAATAACCAACATGAGCCAAACATTGTGTAATGGTTCAGGCGAGAAGCAAGTTCGCGTATGGGTGGATGGTTGTTTTGACATGGTTCATTTCGGTCATGCGAATTTGATTCGCCAAGCCAAGCTGCTCGGAGACTACCTTATTGTGGGTGTCCATAGCGATGAGGAAATTACGAAACATAAAGGTCCGCCTGTTTTTAACCAAGAGGAACGCTACAGAATGGTCCGAGCAATTAAATGGGTTGACGAGATCGTAGAAGGAGCCCCTTATTGCACAACAATTGAAACCTTGGACAAATACAATTGTGATTTCGTTTGCCATGGCGATGATATTTCCGTAACTGCCGATGGCAGTGATGCGTATCAAGAAGTAAAAGATGCTGGTCGTTATCGCGAAGTCAGTCGTACACAAGGTGTTTCTACGACTGATATTGTCGGTCGAATGCTTCTTGTTACTAAATCTCATCACAAACGTGAGGGAGAAGATTTACCAGACAAAGAACGAGTCCATCAAATACAAAAAGATGCTTCCGGACACAGCCCTTGGACTGGCGTCTCACAATTTCTTGCAACTACTAAAAGAATCGTGCAGTTTTCAGGAGGACGTGAAGCAAAGCCTACAGATAAGGTTATCTACGTCGCTGGTGCCTTTGATTGCTTCCATATCGGTCATTTAACATTTCTTGAAAAAGCAGCGACGTACGGAGATTATGTAATCGTAGGATTACACACTGATACTGAAGTGAATCGCTATTGTGGAAGCAACTACCCGATTATGAATCTTCACGAAAGAGTTTTGAGTGTCCTAGCATGTCGTCATGTCGATGAGGTGGTGATTGGAGCCCCTTATACGGTTTCCAGAGATATCATGGCTCATTTCAAAGTCAATCTTGTAATTCATGGAAATAGCAAAGTATATGCTGATTCAGTTGGTGGGGATCCATACGCGGAACCAAAAAAGCAAGAAAAGTTTCGTTTAATTGGCACGGAATCTACGCTGAACACAGCTGGTTTGGTGCAAAGAATAATAGAGCATCGCCAGCTATACGAAGCGCGGAATTTGAAAAAAGAAAAAAAGGAATTGGCAGTTTATGAGGCTACTCGTCAAGATCAAGGCTTCAAAGCTGTGTAGTTTCTGGAATAATTTATTATAGTCCTATACTCAGTGATTCCAATACAAGGTGGTCGCTTGAAAAACTGAAAATTTGTCAAAAATTTATCAGTCCCTGTGTCAGATTTTAAATTTTTAAAAGAATAATCACTTTTTCAATCTGAAAGTGTTGGTTTCAAAATATAAATCAAATAAAACCTGGAACAAGTTAGAACCTAAAAGAAATAAAAACGTATTGAAAAAGAATAGAGTGGGCTAGCATTTATTCATGACCTCATCTGACCTTCAAATTTTCTGTTTTTCTAGCGATCGCCCTGTATTCCCTATATAATTCCTTCACACATATTCTATTGAACTAATGCTTTTGTCAAATGTCTATGCATCTGGAACAGATAACTGGTTAATTAAGTATTGCCATACCCAATGTGCACTGCTAACTGGCATTGGTTTATCATATGATAAGTCTTCTTGGCTTTCCACTAAATATTGAAATCTCGTCCTATTTAAAGAAGTACATTTTGTTTCAACTCTATTCTAAAATCTTACGGTACTTTGGGAGGCCGTTATTCGCTATACGATTATGCGGTCTTATCGACTTTTCTCTCCCTGGAATAAAATTGATAACCCTATTTGCTATATGATTGAGCAATCTTATAAATTTTTATGGAAATCATTTTCTCTTTATGACTAAGCTGTCTCGTCGACTCAGGATAAGAATGTATTCTCTATTCTGCCCCACAACAGGGATGCTTTTGAATGAAGGCTATTCAATTGAAGTGCAATATATAGCGCAGAAGTAAATATATTTAAAAAATTTATCTACGATTATTGATTTGACTTTTTTTGACCATAAAATATTTTAAAAGATGTTTTCCAGTTTAACTCTTTCCACTTAGCTCTTTTTGAGCATCTACCGATATCTAACGTGGGACTATATTTTGATAAAACTGGAATTTTTCATATCGACAACTGCCTAGTTTATTTCACCCTGAATAAGGTTGCAACAAAATTAAGTCTAACACTTCGGCCACCAGACTGTTTCTTTGTCAACAAATGTTTGTTTTTTCTTCAATTTTATCGACTATGATTCTTCAACAATCTTTTTCAAAAGAGCTCAATCATTGACAGTTTGAAATTTATCATAAATTATTTTAGCTTCGCTCTTAAATTTTGATAATGTGAGATTAGGCTTTGAAGTCTGGGAAACCAATGTCCAACCTTGATTCAATGCTATTAAAAAATTCTCATTTTCGACCATGGTTCTCGACCTGTCGTACTTGAAAATCCCCCTAGTGGTACGCGAGCAGCTTTGGATTTCTGCAAGAATTAATTGCCTAAATTAGGCCAGCAACGCTTTATCTTCATCTTCCATATTGTATGTATTCGGTGTTGAACGGTGTTTAAAGTGCTGCCGGTCCTTTTTAGCGATCGCCCTCTTCTGTTCAGTTACGTGTCACCTCACAAAGGATGTTTGGCCACATTATAAATACTCCCATGGCACGTCCTTTTGCCATCCCGCCCCAAAAAAGGGGCTTTGTCAGTAATATGCGGCGAGTGAAAAACAGTAAATTGGTTTGCAGTCTTTAAAAAGATTGAGGACCACCTATCTATGAACTATGAGAAAAAAAAAATTTGAACGTAAAAATGTCTGAAAAGAATGTCAAATTCATGAATTTTTGCGTTTCGTCGTAAATGTGGACTCCTCAGCCTTGTAATTATAGATCAACAAATTCATTTCGCAAACAGAAAAACTATGGTAAATTTCAGCTATTCTTTATGTTATCGAAATATCAGACATCAAGCCACACTGCACTAAATTAGTGTTCCTTCTGTTCTTAGTGTTCCCTTTATTGTTTTCATTTATTTATGTCATATCGGTACGAATCCTTTATTATTTATTCAGATTTAGTTACTGTTGTGTTGTTTGTATAATTTATGTCGCACATTATGCATGGTATGTAGCAAAGTTCGCAGATATGCCTGTCAAGTGTAAGTTGTTGTTTTTTAAGCTTTATCTTAACCAAGGGGCGTAAAACCTTTAATACAGAAAGAATAGATAAAATTAACTGTGTGAAACCGCGGCCACGCCTTTATTTAACATAGGCTTTCTAGTAATTACAGGCACTGTTTGGGTATTTTCACTTATGACATGCTCTGTTCACTTCGCACAAGCTATCTGTTAGGTGTTAGCTGTTGTAACGTTATTAGCATTAACAATAAATTGGACTCGGGTATAGTCTTTGCAACACCGCGGGATTGGAGCGTACTGAATTAAACTAAATTAAAAACCAGTTTTTGCGCACCATTTGAAATTGGCATCTCTCCACATTTTTCTTCTTTTTTAAGATTTCTTTGTTTTGAATTTATAAGAGTTTAATTGTTTTATTAATCAATGTTACTGTTGAATTGAAATATATATTTGTATGCAGAAGTTGATGTATGTTCGGAAGTCTATTGAATGATTTCACTCTAAACCAGGCCCTTGCACAGTGTTGTAGGCATTTCATGAGCGATTTGTTTTAGGAAGACTTGTCGAGCCGACCAATCAGAGGCACAAACACCCAGTGGGACTTCACCCTTCGGTTGATGAACGAACATCTGATAATTAGAATCTGCGTATGAGACACCTGTTCTTATAAAGAAGTTTGGGAAGTGTCTCGGATGATTTTATTCTAAACTAGTCTTTGCATAATCTTGCAGTCAGTTCAGGCTTCAGGAACACTCGAGCCGACCAATCATCCATTGGGACTTAACCCTTAATGAATCCATTTTCTTAAATTGATGGACGAATATCTGGTTTTGGGACACTGGTCCATAAATGTATGTCTCGAGTATTGAATTTTTTCACTCTTAAAACTAGGCTAGTCCCTCAGTCAGGGGGGCAGGCCTGCCCAACTTTTCCAGTGTCACATGAGGACATTTTTACCGAACTTGAACGGCGGCTAAGTTCTGATTTACATTAGAAATTACAATATATATAAAAAAACAAGGGATGGTCAAAATATTTGAGTATTATATCGAATATTAGAGTAGCAGCTCATTATTCTAATCTCTGAAAACACATGACCTGAACATGGCACACTGGCGCGTTGCTGAATCAGGCGCTTGCAGATTTCCGAACACAAGAGAAAATGCTCATACTTTTCGCTAAGAATCGGAGATGTAACTGCGGGTTGGGCAGTCCTGGAGTAAGGGGTTATCTGTGTACTAGCCGACCTTGAATAACCTCTTCTCAAAAAGTAAAAAAATTGTTTCACCACCTGGCACAATCAACACAATACATCAGTGAAAAAAATCTGTATATTACTCAAGAAAGTTTGAAAAAGAAACGGAGGAAAACGAACATTTTCAAAATATCACATTTATAACAATAAGGCAGAGTAGTTTCACGTACAATATCGGCCACTAGAAGAACAGGACCAACTGGAGTATGGATTTTTTTAATAAAGACACACCTCCAGTCATTTTTCACTCCTAATAGTAAATCTCACAATTTTCATTATTTTATGACAAAATCTAAATTCCGGAATATTACCAATAAATTTTTAAAAAATGATATTTTTTGACTTGCGCAGGATGTCGTTAGGACCTTTCTCTTGACGATGAATTTGGTATCAGAGCTCTGAAGCTGGTGCAAATTTTTGGTACTTTGTACCAGGTTAGGGTTAGGCCATAATTTAATTCCGATTTTCCCTATTTTAGTTCAATTTGACTATCTGTGTTAGCCAAGTGGATATATCCCTGCATATAGGTTTCAGTTCCTTTACAGGTGAACAAAATTAGTTACCCCCATAGTGGTACAAACACTCTGGGATCATCAAAATATTTCCCACAGTAGCAATTGTACATTTTCAAAATTATTAACAATAAAGCAGTAGTTTCCTGCACAATATCTCCGTATTCTATCTTTTATCATCTCGTTTACTGATAATTTCACCTCTGTATCGAAACAAGTTTGAGAGTATGTTGAAAGACTTATCCAAATATTTGAAGGCAAGTAGCCATTGAACTACTATTTTTGTTAGGACCAGTGTTTCTGGTTCCTTAGAGAGAGAGAGACAGACAACATATATGGGGGTGGAGTTATCTTTCAAGATTATACGAGAATGAATTAATGAGAACCCCCGGAGAGAGGAAAATGACTTAATCATATGGCAAACCACGGACTCTTGTCCAGTTACCAGTCCAGTCGGGTGTGAAATTAGTTCACCAGTTATTTGTTTCAGATGAATGAATATCTAAATTTTATGACATTGCAAAAATTATCACTTTAGATCTTTTACATACAAGTCTGCAACTCTTGGAGCACTGGTCTGGTAACATGCAGACAGCACAATCAGGATATTGACACCTAAAAAATGTTAAGTAAATTCTCTCCAATTTAATCCCAAATAGGCCATAGCATTTATTTACAAGAAAAATACAGGCAGCTCACTCTTACTAATAATAGAATAATAATAAATGTCTTCCCTGCTGTCTATATAACAAAAAGAATGAAATGAATATGAACAAAATGAAATTATTGGAAATATCGATCGGGGTTGCACAACACCAATTATTTACTTATACTCCCTTTTGCACTTGTGGGTCAGTATGTGTATAATGCAAAGATGCTATAACAAGAGTTAAAATGACTATCCTATGCAATTCAGGAATCTTGTACATAAACATAAAGGGTGTCCATTAAGTCTTAAAATGGCAAATGGAATTCATCGATAACCATATATTGTTTTAACCCTCACAGATGTATTAAATGAAGTAAAAATACTTAAACAATTACTGATTAAAAAACAACAAATCTAGTTAAGATATATTGAGAACCGACTTCATATCAAAATTGAAATTGTAAAGGGACTTTATGGACACTCTGTATTTCTGTAACATGTCATAATGCAATATATTTGAGTTGCAGACTCTTGAACTTTTATTACATCATTCTTGCATTACACACAGACATATCAACAGCGCAAATGTATTTCTGTTAAGTTCAATCCGACCAAAGTTTAGTGAGGAAAAGGCTGATGTTGGTTAGACAAATCTATTTGAATTATCGAGCAGTATTTCAAATCAGCGTTTCTCAACAAGGTCCCTGGAAGTTTTTCAAAATGAGCATGGCGTTATTTACTGGGCCTACAACAGGTCCCGAGGAAATGTCATCAATTACAAATTGAAGCAAGAGAGTAATATTCCACTCATTTCTAATAAAAAAGAGATTTTGGGGACGATTTTCTCTGGCGGAATGCTTCTTGAATTGCTTAGGTGTTGTTCATATCTTGAATTGGGATGAATAAAATAAACGCCCGCTACGAGATGATAATTTCGTCTATTCTTGCATCTTCGCAAATATATGTTATTGTCACTAGAGGGAGTAATGACAATACAACAAATTGTAAAAAAAATACGAGATGAAATTCTCTGTTCTTGAACTATTTTTTATCGTCTTTGTCATCTGCAATATATTATCTTCATTGTGACATCATAGTAAATAGAGTGTGACATCATAATACTTTTATGACAACATCATCAACTGCCAACTTTCTGTTTCTTCACTGTTCCACTGTGGAAATAAATTCAGAAAGATTAGCGATAAATTTTATGAAATTGAGATGCGACTGAAATATTTTGTATTCGGTGCTTATTTACGTCTTTCGCATTAAACAAGGTGATATGGAAGAACCGGAATAATCACGGTTTGGCATTGAGTACTCAATTTAATATACCCAGGGTGAGATGAGGCATCAGATTTTAACCAGAGATTTTTAATCAACAAAAGTTAAACCCTTTAAATGTTGGTTAGTGGTCGGCAACCTGTGGCTGCGGGCATTTTTCAGTGGGCGTTCAATAAATCTGCAGTGTTACACAAAAAAAGTTCGGACCTCCTAAAGTATTTGAACCAAGATAGGGTTCAGGTTATGCGACATCTTGGTGCGCATACTTCAGGAGTACCAAAAGTTCTATATATGCAACATTACATATAAATTTTTTGCCAAATGGTTTTTGTTCATATATCAAACGATCATACACTACGTAGGTTTCATCTTTAGTACCGGATTTGCTACTATATTCGTATCTTCATTCTTGCATATCTCGTTATTTTATTGTGTATTTGAAATTGCACAGGCTAACGACATGTAACATTATATTCAGTTGTTCAAACTTTGTACAGTCGCATGTACGGGTACGTTCGCACTAGTTTTAATTACAAATTAAAATAAACAAGATAATAGGTGGTTAAATTTAAAATTTTCAACCAAATTTTTAAGACCTTTTTCCTTATACATATTGTCATAACATAATAGGATTTGATTACATCACACTCTGTGACGGTGATGTCACAGTACTATATGTCAGTGGAAGATGACACCGGTGCTTGAATTGCAACCAAACCAAGTAATAATCTCACCTATCAGCATATCCAGGGTTTCTCTTGAAGGCTTGTCTGGCTGTGTCAACTTTAGATACATCTGTGAAAAGAAACAGTAAAGTTTGAACACCAATTCATGTATAAGCGAGTTTAAAACCCCAAAAAAGTTGCCAAACTAAAGGGTCGGCTTATACAAACATAACTCTGATTGCACTAAAAGGTTTGAGAGTAAAAGTGAGAAATTTGGAGTATTTTGAGACACTTCTTACTAGTAGGGCTGTCCAAGCGAACCAAATATTCGAAATCGAATCGCTAATTATTGAATCGTTTTTCGGCTAATTTTCGAATCAAGCTCAGACCACTCTCACTTCCGTCTTAATTGGTTTCCCGATATTTCTCTCATCTTCATTTTGTGATAAACATGTCATTACTAATGCCCGCCCGGTGGCACGTGATTAGCCATTTCATGCATGGTCATCATAACAAGGGATAATCGGTCATGACGTTTTTGAGAGAGAACAAGGAGAAAAAGGAGACAATTTAGAAAACGATAGTTCTATAAATAGAATCGATTTGAAGCTGTTGAGTTAGTTATCATAGGAACATGGTACAGGCAACTCATGGCTGAAACAGGTGTTTTGGGATCCTTATGATGGCAATACCTTCTTTGAATGGAATTTGTAATTTCTTATGATGGCATTACTGTATTATCTATCCATCTATATACCAAGACAAATAATTGCACTCCTGCATTTTGATGGCTGTTGTACACTAACAATATTATAGTCATCAAATAACATTGTCATCAAACTAGCTTCGAATTTGTTAAATGCAATTTTGAACTTGAGCAACAGTTTTATCTATATTGATGGTTGTTATTATTTTGCTGAAATTTACACAAAAAAACATAAGACTAGTGAATAGGATTAAAATAGCATCTACAGGCTTTACAAGTCCTATTAAAACTGAATCCATCAAAATTGAGATTGCAATTTTTGAATAGCGCAATTTTTACTCTTAACACTCAACAGTTTTCGAGACCCAAATTTTGGAGTTCTCCAATTTTTTTGACCAGTTCATAAAAGCGTTTGATCTCCTTTCATAAATCTGAAAACATTGTATTGCAAAATACCAGCAGTAAGTAAGATGTAACTGCACATACGTTACCACAACATCGAAGATGGGCGTTTATTGTATAATAGAGACAGATTTAATATTGTGCAATAATATTCGGTTCGATTCGGCGAAAATATTCGATTCGAATCAAAAAATTATTCGATTTTGGACAGCCCTACTTACTAGTATTAATGACATAACAATAATAGTTATCATTTTCATTAATTTCCTTCTGCAAACATTTACTGCTATAGGTTCGTACGGCGTGTTATGATTTGTAGGCAACTATTAATGCCCTGCAGTCGAAATGACAAATATGGAATACACTTAGGGTGAAGATATTTATTGAGATTGAAAAATTCATTTAATTTCTAACCAAACAGTGAAAAACCACCAAAAACCGCTAGAAAGCATGCGAAACAGTTCCAAAATGTGCAAAAACAGTGAAAACCCTGCAGTCGAAATAACAAATATTGAACGCACCCTGGGTGAAGTTATTTATTGAGATTGAAAAATTCATTTTAATTTCTAACAAAATTCCCAGTGCCTATCTCAATGTTAATTGACAAGATAAAATTGAAGATTAAACTTACAAAAATAACACACACAAAAGAAATAAAATTCATACCTTGTAACCAACGAACTTGTGTCGCAGGTCCATACCCTTTCTGATTCTTCGCTGCAATCCTGAAAATAATCGCCGGCTTGCTAGAGCAGTCTATGTGAGCTGAACTTAACTGGTTGTGTGACACTATACATCTAGGTGATTCCCCAAGATAGACCCTGTTTGCAAAGAGAGTGAGAAAGATTCTATTATCACAAACAGAGTCAACAACACTATGATCCACTTGATTCAATACAAAGAATATTTCAACAATACTTCGTTCCCCATCATTATTTGTGAAGGTCAATATGCAGGACCAGTTTGGTCACCAAGGCTCCTGTCCATGAGTACATACTGTATTTAGTAATAATACAGAAATAACATCACAGATGAAAAAAAATAAAATAAATTTAGGTTATTTTGCCGAAGAGGAAAGTTGATAAAGCAGTTGATCAATATAGTTAAGCTCAGAGCAGTCTGGACAACATTATCCTGACCAGTTTAACGTTGCATAAGTGCAAAATGGTTGAAAAGTTTCCTTGATGGTAGAAAAGCCTCCTTTGACCAATTGCAACGCATTCCTGCGGGACACAGAAGTACAAACTTTTGAAACACTTAGAAATCATTTCGAAATGTTTAACACTTGAGCAGTTCTTTCGAATAGAGAAGCATATTTTACCCCTCTCAAAAGCTAAGACTTGGGTGGGGGTACTCCCGTAGTATGTGTACCAGCTTAGGGTTAGGCAATAATTTTATTCCGATTTTCATTATTTCAATTCTATTACTAGTTGGAGGACTGTCTGTGTTAACCAAGTGAATAAACCACCTGCCCATAGGTTCCAGTCTCTTTACACAACTTGATGTAAAATAGGCGAACAAAATAATTTCCCTCCATATTGGTACACATACTTCTGTAGCGCCTGGGTGGGAGCATTATATGACTTAAACTTTGAAAATGTGTCACATACAACTCAAGTCAGCACTGGGTTAACTTTGTCCCGTCAAACAAAATTTTACCTGACAAACTGCATATTGTTTTGTTTAGCTTGATTTGTTCCTTTCACAGCCAGGTAGACAGAATATTCGACAATCGCTCCGTTAACACTCGATGGCGGTTCCCAAGATATTGATGCGCCCTCTTGTGATTTACTAATTTTAATAGCGGAGGGAGCTCCAGGAAAACCTGATTAAAGAATAGATCATGTGTGTGATGAACAACTAATGGCAAACCAGAAGAATCTGTGGTTATAAGACAGGAGTGGGCAATTACTTTTCCGAGTGTCCAGTTACAGATAATAGACTTGGTTACTGGGCCGGAGGCTCAAAACTTAATAGATAAAACTATGAATATAAACAGTTTATTTACAACAGGTAGTCCAAAAGCTAGATTTTAATAAGAAACACAATGAGACAATTGATGACGAACGTAATTCACTATTTCACATAGATTCTTGAAACAATATTTATGAATTTGGAACATATCTTGAAATCAAATTTTTCCTGAAATCAATTTTTTTTTACATCAGATACAACTGATTTTGAATGTATTCAAAAATTCGATTTCATTTTGAATATGCCGCCATGAAACAGCTCGCATTTATATTATATTAAGAACCACAATATAACAGTCTAGGCCATTATGACTTTATTTTAATCAATATTTTTAACACAAATTTAGGTGCTCCCGTAGTATGCGAACCAAGATGGCGGACATCGAAACATAGCATGGGTAACAGGTTAGGGTTAGGCGATAATTTTTTTCCAATTTTCCTTATTTTAGTCCTATTATCAGTTCGAAGACTAGCCAAGAGTCTCCCGTAGTATTTATACCTAAAATTATGGCCTAACCCTAACCTAGTACACATATCACATTCCAATGTCCGCCATCTTGGTTCGCATACTTCAGGAGCCCCCAAATTTATAACCATAAAAACTATAGTCATAAATTCAGCAGTAAAGCCATAGATGTCCATAATATTAAATGATAATCTCAACTTTAAAACAATAACAAACCTGGCAAGCATGTTTTAAAAGCAGATACTTCAGAGAATGAACCTCTCCCACACGTATTTATTGCAGATACCCTGAACTTGTAAGCAGTCCCTGGAACAAGGGGAACACGAACCATCCATGGTCCACCCTAGAACAAAGAAGATGATTAGAATTGTTAAGTAGGAATATTTGGATTTTCATATATTTATCCGAAGAGGGTGAAGCTGATAAAACGACTCTATAACAAGAAGAACAACAGCCTCTCGTCCAGTTACCGGTCCATATTGAATATGGAATTAGTTAGTTATTACTTATCGATTTTAATCGGTAAGTATGTTGATAGGTATTTGTCTGTCTGTCTGTTTGTTTGTCTGTTAGATGCACGCGATATCTCACGAAAGCGAGATTATATCTGCTCCAGATTTTGCATGTGCATTCATCATATGCCGTACCAGAAGCCTATTGATTTTGGATGAATTATGTCATATAATTAGCGAGTTATTAATTAATTAGTGATGGGACACAAGGTGTCACTATGGAGTAAGAGCGCTGTTTCGGGGATCCCCTAACTTTCGATCGATAAATCTTCGGTCTCTGACCGATATTCTCTTTTTTTTCGGAAGCATGGACTTTATGGTAGAGGAAGCAACCAGGGGTTACGTGAACCATCCTATGACGGCGATGAGTCCAGTAATCCTATCGCACAACCCCGCATGGGATTCGAACAAAAATTAGCCAGTCGCAAGGATGGCGAGCAATCCAGCAATCCTCTCGTGCGTTCGTAATTATCCCACAACACAGGGTTCAAATTTGCTCATCCACACAAGGTTATGTTGCACCAACTACCTAGTTTCTGAGTAAATCGAATAACCTAATAGAGGAAGATCCTCAGCGACCTCTAAAGCATTAATAGATATATAAGATAATATAAAGATAATATATCTTTACTGCAGATTCGACGGATATAATCGACAGGAAGACTTGAAACAATTCTAGTCAAAGCTGTCAAGGAAGTGAAAGAAATATTACTATAAATAACTAACTCACCTCCTCAGGGAACATGACAAGATTCTCAGTTGGAGCTCCTTCAGTATCAGGAGAAAGATAATGATCGACCGTAAAAGACGTGGATTTTGTTATTGCTACATCCAGCCACTGGTTTTCTTTTTTAACAGGGGTGGGGGTACCATTTGTTATCGAAGTCGGGGGCTGTGTAGCTGGGGTAATTTGAGGAGTAGGGGTAACATTGGTAGTGGGCGCTCGCTCTCCAGATATCATAGCTGCAGCAGAGAGCATTAAGGCCGAAGCGTTAGTAAAAGATGATGTGGATTGTGCCGATGTCAAAATAGGATTTGATGACATCACACTCTGCGATGGTGATGTCATAGTACTATCTGTTAGTGGCACACTGTCTGTAGAAGATGACACCGGTGCTCGGATTGACTGTGATGTCACAGATGGTGCTTCTGCTGTATCCATAGCAACAGGCTTGCCCACTCCACCTTGTGTCTGTTCTTTATCGGTGGTTTCTTTTGCTGAACCTATTTTAAAAAGGAATGATATAGGTAACATGATCAACGATTATTCTCAGTAAAATACTATTATCAACTATTAGGAGATCGCTAGCTTTCTGAGTATTTAATAGAGTCACAATTCAGCTCCGGGTTTCTGAACAACGTACAGTAAAATTATCATCAGTTGATTTATTTAAAATATGGCTTCACTCCACTCCCTTTTTAAATACCTATTAAATATTCCAATTCCCCCCCCCCCTCTCCCAAAAAAAATTTCATGGATTGCATCAAGTTCACAGGCAAGGTTAACCAATAGCCATCCTTCTATTTTAGTACTCCTATATTACTTCTACTTTAGCAGTGCTCAAATATATGGACACAAAGTACAAATGTCCTACAGAAGAGTTCCTATGAATTAAAATAAAACACCCAAATTTTGTGAGAAACATCAAATAAATGAAATAGGAAGAATGAAATAGACTTTTAATTACTTTTTCTACCATATATTTAAAAAAAATTCAATGAATTGGTCCAGTAGTTCCAATAGTCTATACTAGGGTTTTCCAAACTGGGGGTACGTGGACCCCTAGGGGTCACTGATGACTACTCAGGGGGTCAAACAATATGAACAGAGTAGAGTATGAAGGCGATTAAAATTTTATTGCCTTTTGCAAAGACCTATTGTTGTATTGTAAATGAAACATTATCGTTCCTCGTTGGTTAGGCACCTTGGGAAACTCTGGTCATAACAATAATTCTGTGAAAACCTACCATGGTCTGCTGACATGAAATCTGCGGGCAATGATGTTGGCACTAATGGTATCTGCTGAGTCATGTTTTGAGGGTCACTAGTTTCCATGGGAACATCTTTGGAAGAAGATTGCTGAGTCGTGTTTTGCTGAGATGCCATGGCAACACCTTGTACAGATGAAGTCGTTGCCGTGGTCCCAGATTCCAGGTTACCGGCGGCAATGGTTGTGGTTGAATCAGTTTGCGAAGTTGTTGTAGTTTCATGGGGAGGTGACGCTGGTTGACTGAAATAAACAATATATGAAAATACAAAAAAGATAGTGTGAATTAATTTTAACCATATTGTCATCTTCCTGCAGTCTGAAGAAGAATAGGTACTCCCGAAGTATGTGAACCAAGATGGCGGACATCGGAACGTAGTATGTGTACAAGGTTGGGGTTGGAACATAATTTTATTCAAATTTTTCTCATTTTAATCCTATTACGAGTTCGGGGACTAGCCAAGTGACTCCCGTAGTATTTGTACCTGCAATTATGGCCTAACCCTAACCTGGTACACATACTACGTTCTGGTGTCCGCCATCTTGGTTCACATACTTCGGGAGTATCGAAAAATAATATGAAAGTTTTTTTTGCCTCTTGCTCTGAAGAATGCTCCAAGTCAGCCACTAATATCTAATGTCATATAGAGGGGGTATTTTTTAGTAGAAGCCGAATATTTTCGGCCCTGATCCACTTACTTACTCCCAACTTGTGTTCCCATTTACATTTTGTCCAGGTCATTGTCATCCTGGGATAACTGTGCTTTAATCCTATTTCCCACTCTTAAACTGACCAATAATAGCATAGAATGATGGTATTGCATTATGGGTAAAACCACTGAAGCATGCTTCCCAGGTACAAATACTGCCAAGCTGGTCTCCAGAGGTCATTCAGTACTTTGGTGTAGCAGAGGCAAAATGTGTCTTATGTCTAACTTTATATTCTATTATTTGTGGTGACAACTGAACTGTTTATGTTAAGTATTGCTTGTGTTCGTTAAAACAGTAAATTTACACCATTGAACACTTGCATATCAGTTGATACCCGCATGTGGTAAAAATAGGGTCTTGTTTGGAGTTAAAAGATCATAATAAAGTCTTACCTTGTAACTGTCCCAGTGGCCATTGACGCTCCCTGTACTGTATTAGTCGTGCTAGTGTTCTGATCGGCACCAGCAGTCGCGGTTGTTGTTGAGTCTGTTTGATTTGTTGTTGTTGTTTCATGAGGAGGACTCTTGCATTCTGGGGGGGCAAGTGTGCTGAAAAAAAAAAAGATTTTACATTTTCTAAAAAAGGGTCTCAAACAAGAAGAGCATATATTGAAGAATATGATGCTATTTTATATACATGGTCTGCTGACATGAAATCTGCGGGCAATGATATCGGCACTAATGGTATCTGCTGAGTCATGTTTTGAGAGTCGCTGGTTTCCATGGAACATCACAGGGAGAAGACGGATGAGTCATGTTCTGCTGAAATGCCATAGCGACACCTTGTACAGAAGAAGTCGTTGCCATGGTCCCAATTTCCAGAGAATATGCTGCTATTTTATAAACGTGGTGTCCAAAAAATTTCACTCGATATTGTAATATAATAGTAGTATCGTAGGATCTGTGGCAGCAAATCCAAAGCTTTGTTCACAAGAAAGGGTTAGAAACGCTCATAAAAAACCGACTTGAAAAATAAAAAAATCCTATTCCTCTACCTTTGTTCGGAAACTGTTGTATTTTGTCCAGAGGGTGTCGTCTGCGTGTTGTCTGCATCGCTATTGGCAACCGATGTGGTGGAAGAATCTGTCTGATTCGTAGTTGTCGTCTCATGTGGAGGACTTTTTGGAGGCTGGCTGCTGTAATCGTTATAAATATTTTTCAAAACAGTTGTCAGAGGGCTTTCTACAAGCAATCACTGGTAAGTATTGATTTACCTATTTAGGAGATCCGGAATGTTTCCTGATTAGCATTGCCATTCTAATCAATAACAAACTGGTTGAGGCAATGGGCGATACCACATAGTGATTAGCTTAATTTTTGAAGGATCATTAGCTAGTGGTCGAACGAAACCAGCACTTTTCTTTTGTAAGGCTTAAATAGTTTGCAATGTGGCCTAAATATAGTTAACTACAATGCGTGTGCAATATATATTTAGAGAATATTGGTCGGAGACCGAAGACCTATGGATCGAAAGTTAGGGGATCCCCCAAAACATAAAACTGCGGTTTCGATTCACCCGCTCTTACTCCATAGTGACACCGTGTGTCCCATCACTAAATGAATAATAACTTGCAAATTATACGACATAATTCATCCAAAATCAATAGGCTTCTGGTCCGAGATATGATGAAAGCACATGTAAAATTTGAAGCAGATTCAATCCCGCTTTCGTGAGATATCGCGTGTATTTAACAGACAAACAAACAAACAAATACCTATCAACATACTTACCGATCAAGGTCGATAAGTAATAATGCAATAGATGTATTTGCTTCTCAAAACCAACAAAATCCTCCAAATTCAATCGAAAAGTCAGGAACCAGATTTGGGCATTAAAACTAAAGAGGGGGATCTGTGTACAATATTTCTAACTCTGAGCCGGGCCGTTTTTTTATTAAATAATATGATAGCTGACCCAAGATTGTTCAAAAAATCATTATTACCTTGATGCTTCTGTTGGTGCAGCTTTTGATTCCTGGAAACAAAAAATTTATTGTTGAATCAGATGAATGGATAAACTAAACTACAATTTAATGATTTTCATAGCAAATTTGAGTGGAAATGTTTCTAATCAACAACTCTGCCAGAAAGAAAATCCGGGATATAGCTATAAGCGCATAGTGTAGGGCAGGGGTGGGGAACCTTTTTGGTCAAGAGAGCCATAAAATATACATATTTTCAATTGCATTTCCGTGCGAGCCATATAACATTTCTTCACTTAATCAGGCCTGAAATGTTTACTCAAAAGTCAACACATACAATGTCAATATACATTTAATGGGATTTCTGATGCTGCATGTAGTCCCTGTGGGCCTTGAACAGTTGCTCACATGCAGCCCAAGTTGAAATCTACGATACTCATCACTCTTTTACGTTTAGGCATCTCCGTAGTGTTTTTAAAACTCTATCGCTTTGTGATGTCACAATATATGTTCCAGAATCCCCTTGTTTGTCACAATGCCTGTCTGGTGATTATCTTACATAACATAGACATGTGCTGGGCGCGCGTTCTCAAACGTTTTGGGAATTTCCTGCCAAAATTGGCTATAAAAGAGTTTGAAATCTCGTAACAATAGTGAGCTTAGTCTTAGAATATTAGAATTTTCTGGGAGCCATATGCCGTCACCAAAAGAGCCATATATGGCTCGCGAGCCATGGGTTCCCGACCCCTGGTGTAGGGTTTTAAGTGTAACTCTATCAATTCCCCGTAGGTAATAATATATGGCAGTGTTTCTCAACCTGTGCGACCCGAAACTGGGTCGGCTGAAAAAATTTTCGGGTTGCTGGCTTTTTAATAAAAACTTAAAAGTTACTGATTTTGTTGTTTATTTTATATTTGGCATTGCTCAAGTAAAGCCATGCTTAGATTTCAAAAACTTGCTGATGGCAAAATGATGGCAAAATTTCTCACTTTAAAGCAGGAATGCACAACCTTTTTGCTATTGGCGGCCACATTGTATATATTTGTATTCAATACGTCCTGCAGAGGATTGATGGGGACATTTTTTTTTGGGGTTCATGCCCTCATAACCGCGTATTTGACCCATCTGTCCAATTATGAAGTATGTATGACTACTTGAAAGTATAATATTCGCATTTTAAACGGATTTTTCTTTTTTTGGTGGACCTATTCTTGAGCAGATATATTCCAGCAAGTTGGATAATGGTTGCACAATTTTGAAAAAATTCGGAAGTCGGGGAAGGGGGAGGGGCGGTCGCCCCCACTTTCTTGTCCCCAAAAATATAACAAAATGTCAAATATTTTAATGAATTTGTTCTATAAAAGTTTGCAAAGCATAGTCGCCAAATCCTATATTTTGAACTTTTTTTTGTTTTTGTTTATAGGATTTTGTATGTGGACGGCCGTATTATTTTTTAACAACGACCGCAGGTTGTGTACCGTTGCTTTAAAGTAACACCCACATAATTTTGTATTACGCTATATAAATAATAAAATCTATCCTCTTCAGGTATAAATTTGATTTATAACATTAATTTCAAGTTGAATTTGCAGATGTTTTATGATGGTGGTAATACCGAAAAACATCAATGGTTTCCAGCTGCAAGGCTAAAATATAAAGCATCAGAGCTGAAGCCATTGTACTTTCTAACAGCTGTGATGTCTAATTCCCCAGCTGTGATTTTATCAGTACTCCTTCTACTTTTATTTAAGGGCTCAGAACCTTGCTTTGAGCAATCTTGCACAGAAAAGAGAAAATATTATTCCAACTTACCTCTTTGGTAACTGCTTCAGTGGTGGTTGGAGTTACAGATGTTGTGGTCAGAGCTGAAAAATAATGACAAATGAGCATTATCATATCCCAGTAATTTAAATAATTCGTAAATTTATCCATAAAAATTTAGTAGTAAATATTATGTCTAGTGCAGGGGTCGGCAACCTTTTGTCGCTCACGGGCCAAAATTAAAGGTTGCAAGTCATTGGCGGCCGCACATATTTTTAGAAAGTTAAAAACAGAACAGATGACCGATGAACCACATTTTTTCACACTGATCAGAGGTTAAATTTTAAGCAGCGCGCGAAGAATGACCATTTGAATATTTTTTGCGCCATTGAACCATTTTCACTTAGCATCAACTTTTCGGCGCTTTGTTGTCATTTGTCTAAATTATAACTAAATTATAGGCTCATTAAACGAGTATTTGTGAATTATATACTTGTAACGTTATAATATAATTTAGTCTACACGTAAATTCTTTTGCGTAAAGAATATAATCGACAAAACAGCCGTTTTGTTACTATAATTTAGTGAAGCGTCGCGGGCCGGAATATATTGCTCCGCGGGCCGTAGGTTGCCGACCCCTAGTCTAGTGCTTCCGCAGCATCCTAAGGTTGCCCCAGCATACTTTGGGGTTCTGCAAGTTTCCATTCAAATAACAAAATGGCCAGGAGCCCCGACGACCTCGCAAAGGTAATGCACACAGCCCACGATACTCCCGTAGTATGTGTACCAGTTCAGGCTATAATTTTATTCCAAGTTTTCTTATGTTAGTTCTATTACGAGTTCGGAGACTGTCTGTGTTTGTCAAGTGAATATACCCCCTGCCCATAGGTTTCAGTCCCTTTACACAACTTGATGTAAAATAGACGAACAAAATTAGTTACCTCCCTATTGGTACTAATACTTCTTGAGTTCCCACAATTCAATGTCTAAATTATTCACTGCAATGTATTTCGATAAAATTATGTTATACCTCCTTTTTTTTAATTTATGAAAATGAATCTATCTCTGAAAGTCTATGTGAGGGGTGCACAACCTTTTTGTTATTGGCGGCCACATTGCATTTATTTGTATTACACCTACGGACTCCAGGGGGTTGATGAGTTGATGAATTTTTTTACTTTTATGACGTCATTACCGCGTATTTGACCCATGCGAGGTGCAGTCTGCCCAATTATGAAGTATGTATGACTATTTGGAAGTATAATATTCGCATTTTAAATTGATTTTTCTTTTTGGTGGACTTATTCTTGAGCAGATATATTGCAGCAAGTTGCACAACGGTTGCACATTTTTAAAAAAAAAATCGAAAGTAGGGGAAAGGGCGGCCTCCCCCATTTTCTTGTCCTCAAAAGTATAATAGAACGTCAAAATATTTTAATGAATTTATAGAAAAAGTTTGCAAAGCATAGCCGCCAAATCCTGTATTTTGAACTTTTTTTTGTTTTCGTTCATAGGATTTTGTATGTGGACGACCGCATTATTTTTTCACGGCGACCGCATGCGGCCGTACAGCCGCAGGTAGTGCACCGTTGGTCTATATTATTATATTCATATTGTTCGAATACAATCAAATACAAGGGTATAAAATAAACATATAGTGGGTGTATTTTATAAGTGTTCGTGACCTTCGTGGGTTCAGCGCAAAAATGCTGTTTCACATTTTTTTATGATAACATGATCATTTGATCAAACGAAAAGGGGATCCTTGCATTTATTGGGGTTCCGCTCTACAGAAAATGGTTGACAACCCCAATGTGTGAACCAGGGTTTCTCAATTTCTTCTCTGTTAAGTACCCCCCGAGTCACGAAACAATCAACGTGAACCCCCCCCCCCCCGAGTCTCGAAACAATCAACGCGAACCCTCAGAGTCACGGAACAATCAACGCGAACCCCCAGTATTCAGACACCAAACTAAATTGTGATATATTGACTAACAATTTGCTGTAACGACTGCCAAGCCGTGCACTTCACATTGTTGCGTCACCATCACAACAACGTAAGATCAGGGATAATGTACGCTGAGTTTCAATTGGCACTTATTTTCCTCTTGTAGTTACTTTCTTTGTTAAAGGATTGAAAAAAAGCAAGACACGAAAACTCGACTGTCATCCAAGTACCCCTGGAAATCTTCTCGTGAACCCCAGGTTGAGAACCCATAGTGCAAACGGTGGCTGCATAACAGACTGTCGTTCGTCATATTAAGCCGTCTTATCAGTATGTTCTCCTTATGAGATAAATATAAAAGTTCTATCCTTTCAAGTATAGACAATCCTGGGACCGCAACATCATAAATGTAAGTTCGTACCTGTAGTTTGTTCCTCTTGCTTCAGTTGAGAACCGACAACCAATCTCTGGACTCCTCCCCCTGTTGAGATCAATTTTACTCCCTAAAATATGAACGAGAATATCGGTCAGAGACCGAAGACTTATCGATCGAAAGTTAGGGGATCCCCAAAACAGCGCTCTTACTCCATAGTGACACCTTGTGTCCCATCACTAATTAATTAATAACTCGCTAATTATACGACATAATTCGCCCAAAAGCAATAGGCTTCTGGTGCGACATATGATAAACGGACATGCAAAATCTGGAGCAGATTCAATCTCGCTTTCGTGAGATATCGCGTGCATCTAACAGACAGACAAACACCTATCAACATACTTACCGATTAAAATCGATAAGTAAGAATTTAAGGACCTCCTGAAGTATGCGCACCAAGATGACGCACAACCTGAACTCAGATTGTGTACCAGGTTAGGGTTCAGGTTATGCGACATCTTGGTGGCCACATTGAATTTATTTGTATTTCCTATGGACTCCAGGGGGTTGATGAGTTGATGAATTTTTGGCTTTTATGATGTCATAACCGCGTATTTGACCTGTGCGGGATGCAGTCTGCCCAATTATGAAGTATGTAGGACTATTTGGAAGTATAATATTCATATTCTAAACGCATTTTTCTTTTTGGTGGACTTATTCTTGAGCAGATATATTGCAGCAAGTTGCATAATGGTTGCATAATTTTGAAAAAAATCGAAAGTAGGGGAAGCGGCCCCCCCTCAGATTGTGTACCAGGTTAGGGTTCAGGTTATGCGACATCTTGGTGCGCGTACTTCAGGAGGTCCTTAAATTCTTACTCAATTACCACAGAGCATAATTGCCACCAGGTATATTCATATCGATGATAAATAAAGCACAACTGGTGTTAGCAAAACGATTTAACATGCCAAATTAAATTTTGCTGACACTGGTTGTGCTTTATTTAACATCGACACTCATTAACTATCTCATACACTCACTTTTGGTAATCCATCAGCTCCAATAACCATTGGTGTCACTCCGCCGACCCCTGCACTCTTGATGACCACCTGCAAAAGGTCATAAAAATTTTCTGATAACAGGACAAGAAGCAAGTAAGGGATTTATGCGAGCAATCACTCATTATGTATAGCAGCAGTTGCCAACCAGAGGGCCAATGACCCTCTTGAGGGGGCCATGATAAGGTTTGAAGGCGGCTACAGTGTTAGGCAAAAAACGTTAGGCGATTTTACTTTTCCTTTTACCAAAAAACTTCCTGTTTTCCCTAGTTTCATTAAGCTTGATAAGGTTATTTCACAGGGTGATTTCACTTAATTGAGCAAGAATTGTTTGAACATAATAGGATTTGGAATCCACGAATCAAAATAACACTATGAATACCACTGAAATGATAAACAGGGGGCCATGAGTGCTACAAGCCTCCGAAAGAGTCCTTGAGCCATAAAATGTTGGGCACCACTGCCCTACTCAGTCATCAATAGTTTATTTATCCACTGTAACACAAAATTCATGCTACACTCCTTTACCCAAATGTACCACAATATAGAAATTGCACAAATCTTACCGGCTGCCCTTTATTTGCTGCCAAAACATTCGTATTGGTATTTGCAGAGGATGATAGAACTTTGGTTGTTATGGTAACAATCTTCTGTTGCCCTTGGTTACCAGTTATACCTTTGATCGGAATTGTTTTGATAATAGAGCTTTGTTGAGATGATTGTGGTGTAACAATTGAAATTGGTGTTCCTCCCATCCCACTGGTCGACACGAGTTTCACAAATGTTCCCGGGGCCGCTTTGCTTCCGTTCTGTGGATTCTGAATCACTGTGACCTGAAGTGAAATGAATCATTGGTTAGCGTAGGATTCCCCAAACTTTTTTAACCGCGGTCCCTTCTTTGTAAATCTTATTTTTGATGGACCTCCATTTTAAGTTGTATCAATTTCTAACATTGAATACTGACATTTCGATAAGATTATGATCTATTTTAAGATGATTCAGACCTTTTTTATATCCTTGCAGACTCACTATGAAGTCATCACAAACCCCCAGAGGTCAGTGGATTCCATTTTGGGAAACCTTAGGTTAGAGCAGGGGTGGGCAACATACGGCCCGCGGGCCCACACTCTGTCATGTGGTCCGACGCATCAATCCTGAAAGTTGCCGATCGCTTTACTTTCACCGCACTGTTAGTGCGAGCTGGTGAAATAAACAATTGCCTTAGTGAACAAACAATTGCGTTACCACACTTGTTAAACAAACAATATAAGGTCAAAGCAGAGAGCGTTGTAAACATTACCCACTACTGTTATCAGTTATATTTAGATTCTAAATATTGGATCTCCGCTTCTAGGAGACCCTTATTATCAGTCGTTCTGTCTGTCTGTCTGTGTATCTGTCTGTCTGTTTAGATGTAGCGTCTTAACGACTGAACCAATCTGGATAAAAAAATTTTACGTGGGTTATCCTGCCACCCCAGTATTGTGCGTTTTATGCAAAGTACGGATGGAGGTTTCGTTTCCATGGAAACAACGAAAACGCGCCGATCGTTATGAAATTTCAATTTTTCTCACAATTTATCGCCGTTTTCTCGCCAACCAAGTCGAAAATTAAAATTCCAAGAAAGCTACTTTCCGCATAGCAAAATACTATTTCCGAAAAGTTATCTTTGTTCTCGATACTCCATAAACTGTAGGAGCCTGAGGGATTTAGGTGAAGATTATTTTTTAATTTCCAGTCACAATATACCAGTCACGCCGAGTAAGACTACGAAACTCGCATCGTTCGAAATGAACTAAGCGAAACGCGCAGCGTTTAAATTGAACCGGCGTTTTTAGTAGTGTCTCCTATTATCCGTTAGTAAACTGAAATGACGCGGGCCTCAAGCAATGGCAGAGATCCAACTGGGCGCCTCCTGGCTTGTATTAAGTTTTATTAACCATGGAATATCCCAAGAAACGTAAAGTTGACTGAGAGTGTTGAGCATTTAATAAAGATTGGATACCGAAGTATTTTTTGTAATAATTTGTTGTAGACTGGTAATTAAGCAAAAGTCTGTTATTTGCCACAAGATTGAGCCATATTCTTGGCCTTCGTGTCCTCCTGGTTTATAAAATCCTGAATTTCTGACTGAGCAAGCTAATTGGTAGATTGTCAAATTTATGTTAGCATCGCAGCCTAAAAATTTTGGGCTCTATTCTGTGTAATTAATTTGTTAGATTATGCCAAACTAGAAAAATCCCAGTTCTCACAATATTATATTAAGCTACTTACTGCTTGCACAGAGCTTTGTTCAGAGAGAAGTAAACTAAAAAAACGCTGAATGAAAAAAGATGTAAAATATTAATGATATTAGAGTATATCATGTATTTCCTACCTTCGGCATTCCAGTTGTTATCGGAGACTTTACCAATGTTATTGTCTTTGTGACTCCTCCAATAACTGTGGTCACAACTTGTGTTACTTTCTGCCCCACCTGGCCAGGTGCTGAAACAAAAATTAAATGTACTTTAGGGTATATTTTAGTTTCAGTCCGTTTTTAGCACCTATTAGTTATTTCATTTTTTCAGGTAATTCGTTTTCGTGTTTTTCAGTAGGTTTTGTATAGTTCCCGTATTTTAGAAAGAGCTAAGTCAGGGTCGTCCAACCTTTTGTGCCGAAGGGTCACATGTGATTCACTAATAATTGCGCGGGTCACTTAACATGGTAGTTATGTTCTAGTTTTGCTACACTGACTACAGGTTAATGAAAAAACAAACAATACCCTCACACCAAACTTTCACAATTATTAGAACAATAAAACTCTTGTTTCCCAACCATTGACGGGGCGCCATCAGTGGTTATTCCCGAAAGTTTCGCCAAAGACAAGCCAAGACGTTTGATCAGTTTTATCACAGCTTTTAACGAACCAATGCCTCTAGTCGTACCCTTAACAGGAGCAATGGCTGCGGGCTCCGCGGTAATTTTATATCATCATTAACTCCCTGCAAGAAAATCGCCAATTCGTCAACTGAGCAGTAAACTAGATGTCAGTGCTTTTGTCGAGTGCCAAGGAATACGATGAATTTCCCCGTTTTTGCAATTAAAGTTTCCGCTATAGAGTTCCCAAGCTCTTCAACACGACTAGTTTCGGTCTGTCATGACAGGCTATTTTTGCAAACACTTTTTATTTCCGGTCAAAAACACTGGCAACCCCAGCAATACATATATGATATACATAATACATTCATTAACGAATTCTTTATCTGAGAATGGCTTTGATTGTTTTGCGATACCATCACATAGGGTAGTAAAACCCCAAGAGTGTAAGCGACTATGGCATCTTTATGTAACGATATCTCCTCTTAGTTGGTTTCGATTCAAAACGGCACTCATGAATCGTTTGAAAGGGCTGGCAGAGCGCATCTCATGAAAATAAACAAATCGTTTGTATTACATCTTTGTATACTGCATTACTCGAAAATTAGTTTTACTCAAGTTTTTTATTCAATTGTGAAAATTCAGCGCGGGCCACTCGAAATGCTTCCGCGGGCCACATATGGCCCGTGGGCCACGGGTTGGACGACCCTGAGCTAAGGCCTTTGAATCGGTTCATTTTCTATATCAGTGGTTCCCAAACTTTTCAGAGTTGGGACCCACTATTTTTCACCACAGCTTATGGCGACCCATTTAACTTTAATAAATTAATAAAACATCGATGGAGGAAACAAATTTATTTTCTCAAATTGAATTTTCAGTGAAGCTAGTGAGAAGGATGGGCTTGTTTCTTACTATTTTCCATAATAGACTTGACATTTATTTCAATTTCAGATAGTTTTAGACGTAAAAAATTGAAAAGTTGCAGTTTATTTCGAAATTTGCTTTCAAATTTGCTTTGCCACCGATCCTAATAACTAGTATAATTAATCAAAGTTTTCTACATCTTTTCACGACCCACTGAGATTCTTCTTGCGACCCACCAGTGGGTCGCGACCCATAGTTTGGGAACCGCCGTTCTATATTAAGAATATTTTGATTTTTTGACAAGTATAATTTGATCAAATGTTAACGAGCTTAAAATACCAAATCCTAGAATGAGAAATCTTTAAGTCCTAATGGTGCTGTATTGAAACAAATACACACACAGGGTTGTAGAAAGCAGAAAGAAGGCCCTTCCACAGCCTAGCAATAGTACCATTGCCACACTTTTTAATTCGACATAACGCCCTTTAAAAAAATCTTGGCTGCGCTCTTGTAAACATTCATAAAAAACATTAATCAATTCTCATTCCCCACCTTTCTTGACTGTAATAAATTGACGTGTTCCAGCAGGTGGTGTTAGAGGTTTTGTAGCGGTCCTGACAAATGTTAACTGGGGTTTCGATATTGTTGTAGTTGTTCGAATAGCGGTTGGTAGTGGCTGCAAAACAAAATTAAAAAGTAATGACAAATCAGAATTTTTTTCGGTACTCCCGAAGTATGCGAACCAAGATGGCGGACATCGGAACGTAACATGGGTAACAGGTTAGGCGATCATTTTTTTCCAATTTTCCTTATTTTAGTCCTATTATCAGTTCGAAGACTAGCCAAGAGCCTCCCGTAGTATTTAAACCTAAAGTTATGGCCTAACCCTAACCTAGTACACATATTACATTCCGATGTCCGCCATCTGGATTCGGATACTTTTTTCTCATCCATTTATGAATTTTGAAAAAATTTTCAAATTTCTAGTGTAGGTTATACTCACTGGATTGACTTTAATACTCGATGGCAGCATAGTGACTTGTTGGGGCTTTGCAATTTGGGGAGTGCTGACTTGTGAAGTCATAGAGCTCAACATTGACAATGGAATCCTGAAAAACAAACCAATATGTATGTGTAGGTCCGAGTCAGTATATCGGAAATCCCGGAATATTAATTGATAGGGATGGGCAATGTAGAATAATTTACTATTCTAGAATATTCTAGAATAGTTAAATCGAATCCAGAATACCGAATCCTATTCTATTTTAATACTTATTCAAATAGTGGGAATTTCTACATTGCTGGATTTAGATGGTAAAAAATTGCAAATGTATTACTTACTATAAATGTATTATCTATTTGGAAATGTCCTGAACATTGGATTTCATTTGATACTAAACAGGCAGTTCCCAGGACAATAAAATTTAGGAATATTACAATATTTTTTGCCTTCCAATTGTTCCAAATGTAAGTAATCCCTAAATACTAATAAATACTGATATGCTAAATTAAGACACGCTTTACACACTTTAATAGTAAGCGGTTAAATACAAAATAGACATGAAACGGCGTTAAATCATTATTAATGTAAGTCTGCCAAGTATACTAAAACATACCCGCTGAGAACCAGCGTGTGGCCACTGCAACCTATGCGCCATTGTAAAATATTAAATTTAACCACTATCAATTAAAATCAACCATTTATTCTGTGAGAGCAAGACACGTAAAACCAAGTTCCCGTAAACGCGATTTCGTACTTAGTTATTAGGTAATAACATCTGAAGACGAACTCATTTTCTATGATTATCGTTACATATCATTATCTACCCAGACATGGCCCTACTCAAATTCGATACGTCACTATTCTATACGTCACTACAGACTTCCGATCAAACGTGCGTCTATCTTGGACGATAGAAATGTTATCATTAATCATTATCTACCCAGACTTAGCCCCACTCAAATTCAATACGTCACTATCTTCGCCAGATGCGGCAACTTTTTTCAAAATTTATCGGCGACTAAAATGCTACAGACACTCGATCGAACGTGCGTCTATCTTGAACGATAGGAATGTTATCATTAATCATTATCTACTCAGACTTAGCCCTACTCAAATTCAATACGTCACTATCTTCGCCAGACGTGCGTCTATCTTGAACGATAGAAACGGACCGAAAAATATGTAATCTTTTGAGAGTGAAATTAAAGTGTGACAGTTGTTCGCGTTTTGCGATATAACTTTGTATTTCGGAAAATGGTATAATAAAATTATTCGTAAATAATATTTGATCTAAATTAATGGCGAGTAATGTTATGACATTTAACGCCTGGCTTTTGGTTTACGTGCATCATTTTTTGGGGAAAACTCGTAGGTCGCGAAAAATCATTTAATTTAAAATGAGGCAAGGCCTGTCTGTCTGTAAACAATTAAAGATTGTTGCATTCAGATTATCGGAATATCACCAGTAAGTCGGCACAAATGACGCTAGCTAGATAGCAAAGAAGGAAAACGCAAAAATGGTGCAATAACGAGTCCTCGCCGTGAGGTAATATTACCGACTTCTTGTCCTGAATATGCCGATTGATATTACAGTGTTTGATGTTTACCGATTTACGGGTTCTTTGCGAGCAGACAGACGCAAGTTTAATTAAACGAGAGAGATCTCCACGCGAGAAAAACGCTCGTCTATAATTGATAAATTAGAAACCCGAAATACAAAAATTGACGCTTGGCGCCGGAGAGGCTGAAACCGAATCCTGTTATCGGATCCCGTTGGATTCGAATACTTTGGGATTCGAATCCTCCGGATTCGGTATTCTATATTGCCCATCCCTATTAATTGATCACATTTCATTTTTTGAGTTAAAAAGAAAGTAGAAATTTAAAATAGAATATTCAATAAAACTTGCACATTTCAAATTAAATTTTGAATTAAATCTATATTAGTACACAATATTTAGCGTATTCATTTTATGCATGGCACCAAATTGGTGTATGACACTGACATGAAGTAAGGCACCAACCTAAAGTAGGGCACCACCATATACATATTGTGTACATACGTGTACATTGTCTCCAACTTAGCACATGCCACCAACCTAAAATAAGGCAGCAATTTCAATAAATATGGATCAAATTACCAAGTATGACACTAATTCGAAGTCAGGAACTAATGTGAAGTCCGGCACTAATTTCAAGTCTGGCACCATTTTCAAAGTATGGCAAATTTTCTGAGTATGGCACTCAAGATGAGGAGATTAGTATTCTACAATCTTCAACGAAGGGGATAGGATAAACAACTCACGATTTCACTGCAGGTATTTTCTGTGTTGCAGCTGCCGCTGCTGCCAAAGCTGCGATTCCACTCATGTGCGACGCTGATGATTGTGATGTAATAGTAGAAGATAATCTCGGAGCAGTGTTGACCAGACTTGTAGCCTCAGGTTTTGCTTCTAAAAACAAAATTTCGATTTTAAGAATAATTTGAAAATTTGTTATTCTTGAGCATTTGAGATTTGGCAAAAATTCACTAACAGTAACTTCTGTAAAATAGAATATAAATCAGAATGGTTAAAAGTCATGTATGTATGCAGGAGGCAGCAGTGTTCCCTCTAAGAAAATGATACACTGAGGAAATGTTCCCTCTAAGAAAATGCTACACTGAGCAAATGTTCCCTCTAAGAAAATGCCACACTGAGCAAATGTTTGTTTTACTGAGCATCAATATTTTAACGCTGAGCAGAGTCTACAAACCTTGTTAAATATATAACAACAGAAACATATTATCAGAAACTGAATGAAGTTCACATTTAATTTGAGAATATAGAACATTCTAGCAAGCTATGATTTGAAAACCGATGTTGCAAACGTGCGGAATCCAAATTTTACTGCGCTAACGGTCTGGTGGTACTGCGCAATGGAGCAGTTGCACATCTTGGAGGAAACCTGGGTAGGAGGTATGTATGTATGTTTATTTGCCTCAAAAATGTAACACTATCTGCATAATATTTAAACAGTAAAACAGAGACGAGATACATGTTCAATACCTTACTGGCCTAGGACATAGATGTGCGACATGTACCCCTAACAATGATAACAGCAGTTTAGGACTGATGCGTTATACTAGGACAACAAACATGAAATTGACTATACAAATAAAACTCTAGTAAAATACACAAGACAAAGAAGAGGTACGGCACAACGACGATATGTACAACAGTCACTTTCTGGCACGTCCATATCCCAGTTTCCGGTGTGAAAAGATGGAGATGTTCATATATTAGAGTCATGGTCAACTCTTCAATTGTTTTTCATTCAAGCATACTTGTGATAACTGCTACATGTAAATATGGAGTGAACAAAGGCGCTCCCGAAGTATGTGAACCAAGATGGCGGACACAGGAACGTAGTTTGTGTACCAGGTTAGGGTTTGGCCATGATTTCAGGTACAAACAGGTACAGGTCTTTGAACTTGTAATAGAACTGGAATAAAATTATGGCCTAACCCTAACCCGGTACACATACTACTTTCCGGTGTCCGCCATCTTGGTTCACATACTTCGACCTAAACAAGTACTTGTCCCTGTTTTTTTTTTACTATTTCTTACCAATTTTTTTTGCCAGTTGTGCCTTCTGCGGTCCACTACCGACATCATATTTTTGAATTTGCAGAAGATAAGCATCAGCGATCGGGACGACGCCCCATGAAACCTCGAGTGTTGTTGTTGAAGCTCGAACAAGTTGGACTCTAGATGGCGCTCCAGGTCTTTCTGCAATGTAAAACGTGAGCTTGTTAAATATCTCGAATTCAGACATCAGGCAACCTTTATCACAATGTAATAAGTGCTGAACCGGGATTCACAAAAATAGTAGATTATGCCACCTTATGATATGATTATGCCACCTTATGATATGCTCATGCCACCTTATGATATGATTATGCCATCTTATGATATGCCTATGCCACCTTATGATATGCATATGCCACCTTATAATATGCTTATGCCACCTTATGATATGATTATGCCACCTTATGATATGCTTATGCCACCTTATGATATGATTATGCCACTTTATGATATGCTTATGCCACCTTATGATATGATTATGCCACCTTATATGATATGATTATGCCACCTTATGATATGCTCATGCCACATTATGATATGCTTATACCACCTTGTGATATGCTTATACCACCTTATGATATGCTTATACCACTTTATGATATGCTTATGCCACCTTGTGCTATGCTTATGCCATCTTATGATACGCTTATGCCACCTTAGAATTTTAGGTCAAATTTACCTGTTTCCAAGAACCAAAGGTCTTTACAACAAACTTGATTATTCCACGCTTTTCTGTAACCATCACGTCCGCTCCAAATATAGAGACGAGAATTAATGTTTACAGCACAATGGCCTGCCCGTGCTCTTGGGGAAGACTCGTCAAACATTTCCAATGATAGAGCCTCCCACGACCTTGTCTTCAAGTTGAGAGATGTGAGAGTGTTGGTGCATTTCCACTCCTGTGAAATTGTTAAATTTCCGCATTATTCAATCTGAGAAATTGGTGAGGGAAAATCTCTTTTCTTATCAACTGCAGGATCGATACATTGCAAATTTCAATAGCCTACTTGAAACGTGAAGGTTATTGTTTTTAGTTCAATTTTCTCAGTATTCTTTGAGACTCAATATTTCAATTCATAAAACACTTTTTTTAATTTTCTAGAATTAAGGATTAGGACTATTCGTGTATTTACTTTAAAATTCAATTTTCATCAATTCAATTTCTTCCACTTTGGTCCTACAAATTTCTCAAAAACATTCGCTAATTCATTGCGAACACTTTTTAACAAGGTATGGGAACATTTTTATATGACATCTGACCTTCACATATTTAAATACAAGTGCCAACAGAAAATGCTGAATTATGACATCTAATTTGAAGAGTGACTCATTACTTATCGATCTAGATCGGTAAGTATGTTGATAGGTATTTGTCTGTTTGTCTGTTAGACACTCCCGTATGTTACGCGATATCTCACGAAAAGGAGGTTGAATCTGCTCCAAATTTTGCATGTGCATTCATCATATTTCAAACCAGGAGCCTATCCAGGATTTTGGATGAATTATGTCGTATAATTAGCAAGTTATTAATTAATTAGTGATGGGCCACGTAGTGTCGGTACTGAGTCAGAGAGAAGGAATCGAAACCGCAGATCCATAAATCGGCAGTCTTCGACCGCTATCTAGTTTTACCTTTTCATGGCTCAAAGCTTTCAAATCCTCCATTAGCAAAGGCACCCATCCTCCAAATACGAACATCCGGTCTTTAATGAGTGTTGCACTATGCAGACTTCTTGGCAGTGGGGGAACACCACCTATCTTCGGGTTGGTCCATGTCATCGTATCTGTGGAAATGATGAAATTATAAGATTTTCTTATTTATCCAAAAGAGAGGAAATCTGATAAAACAGATTAAGTCCCATGGCGAACCAGTGCCACTCATTGGCTTACTAGTCCGTGTCAGGCATAGAATCAGTTAGCCAGTTATTTGTTTCAGATGCATGACCTGCATTGACTTATTACTAGAGAAAAGGGAGTGGTATTGGACATAGAGTGAACCATCAAATTGTCTTGTGGAATTGTTGCTGTTGTTTTCAGGACATTGTTGCTGTTGTTAAAAATCGCTTTTCCATACAACTAATGGACCAATCAATATACATGTAACTAGTTATCCGACTTTTGTACATTTTGAATAGTTTATATTGTATACATATATACATTATGATAATACTAAATAGGTAAAAATATTGATATCCAAAACCACACGAAAATAAAAAATTAAATTTTCTCCCCAAACATTCAAGGAATCCCTCCCTGATTAGATAGATAGATAATGATTCATTTCAGTACGTATTGCAATAAGGATAAACAAAAAAACAATAATAATAGAATATAATCGGAAGGGTTGGGCAAGAGTTCAAGGTCACCAAGGTCGACCGACACCTAATGAAGATTTCTAATCATGACAAGAAGGAAAAGTTAGGTTAGGAAAGTTGGCTTAGCGGTCAAAGCGTTAGACTTGTGCTAAACCGCATATTTTCACTTTTAATGATATTCGGATTTTTTTCCTGCTATGACAACATGACCTAACATCAATGCTTTAACAATCGCGCCACAATTGAAATATAAACCTGGCAACCTTACCAATATCCAGAACCCACAGATCTCCTAGTCTGCAGCCACTCATTCCCCCATAAATTATCAACTTTGCCATCCCGTCTCCATCGGTCCAAGATATGCCAGTGTGGGACTCCCGAGGGGGAGGGGCAGCCCCGTAGGTTGCAGGAACGTTCCAACCCGTGACCCCTGACCCAGGGCAAAGTTCAAGTGTATAAAGGTCGTTTAGGTATCTGAAAATAGGATAAATTAGACCTCATCCTCAATTCATCCTGTATTTGCTAATGAGTAATGCTCAATTATAGTCCTATACCAGTGGTTCCCAACTGGGTGCCCATGGGGGCCGCAGAACAGTTGGAGGGGGGCCACAATGCTAGACGCAAAACTGATTACTTATCGATTTTAATCGGTAAGTATGTTGATAGGTATTTGTCTGTTTGTTTGTCTGTTAGATGCACGCGATATCTCACGAAAACGAGATTGAATCTGCTCCAGATTTTGCATGTGCATTCATCTTATCTCGGACCTGGAGCCTATTGATTTTGGGCGAATTATGTCGTATAATTAGCGAGTTATTAATTAATTAGTGATGGGACACAAAGTGTCACTATGGAGTAAGAGCGCTGTTTTGGGGATCCCATAACTTTCGATCGATAAGTCTTCGGTCTCTGACCGATATTTTCGTTTTAATTTTACTAGTAACTCCTCGTTTTCCCTAGTTTCATAGCTTGATAAGGTTATTTCCAAAGGTCGCTTTGTTGAGCATGAATTGTTTGAATATAATGAAATTTGGAACTTATCAATCAAAGTAATACTATAAATACCACTGGATAACGATAATTAACAAATAAATATTGAACCCACCAAATGGGGCCATGAGATATAAAAGGTCGTGACTGCTACTATTTTTCAATTTCCAAAAATTTTGTCATTTTTTGGGATAGAATTTTGCTCTCCATAGTACTTATTCATGCATGCAATATATCACATTATAAACTACTTGAACTGTGCAAAAGTGGGAGTGCATCTTGCGTACAACACTGACTCAGAATCCATTGAAGATTGAATAAAACAAAAAAAAGGGTAATACCAATAGTGAGGGAGATATACATAGTTCCAATATAAGCAGGGGGAGTTACAAAAAATTTTTTTTGATTTAATAGTAATAACAAATAGAAGATTTCTTTGTCTTTGTTTTTTAATAATTCTTATTGTGCTTATAGTTCTCATTTATTATACAATAATATTTATTTAAACTTACAATTGTTAATAATACAAAATTGGGCAAAATTTTTTGGACATCCTGCATATCAGTTTAAATTTATATGCTTATCTTATTGGATTTTTACCAGTCACACAACTCTGATTACCTGCATATGCTTGCAGGCAGTGTTCCCTCTAAGGTGTGCGCGCGCACACAGCTTTCAGAGGGTGCGCACACGAATAGATTTACTGCGCACAAACGTATTTCGATGTAATGTACAAAAAATTAGAGGGAACATTGCTTGCAGGTTTCAATTCCAATGGGGAATAGTTATCAGAAGCTGCATATTCTACTAAAAACTATAAAACTATTCACTGACTGTCTCAATCACGATCATATTAGCCTTTCTAATGAATATAAAAATCTTACCTTGGTATATTAGTCTTAGGGTCATCACTGTCATTTGCCAATCCACCGAATAAATAAATCAAATTTCCAATTAGTGTGAAACTGTGTCCGAGTCTTGGGTACGGTATCGGCCCAGTGGGGGGAGGGTTCGGAACTAACTTTTTCCACTCCCAACGACTGGCCTAAAAAAATAATTGAATTTCAAGTTTTTTCAAGAACACCAGTTATGTGAAATAAACCAGCTGGTTTTCAGATCGTACTGATTAAGAATCAATTCTTGTTTCAATCAGGGATCTAGTGAAGAATTAACCATTGGGCAAACAAAGCATGTGTTTGAATCACTGAGGAAAATTTCCATAGACGAATTTTCAACGGTACCTCACTGTCGAATTGTTTAAACCAGTAGTTCCCAAACTGGGGGTAATTACCCCAAAAGGGGGAAACTCAGGGGTAATCCAGACGTTCACTGTTTTAACAATTTTTTTTTTTAATCCCATACTTTTGACAAGTCAGCTCATATCTGATCAATGAGACTAGTCATCTAGTTTCGCACTTCGTCGGGACATAAAAACGATATTCCGACGTACAGATTTCAGGTTGAAATATTAAGCTAGTGCAAGTTTAGCCTCTTAAAATCGGATGATGCAATAGGGGGTGTTAGTATTATTGCCATCGTTGGTCAAAAAAAAATGATAACGATAAGACTACTGTATATTTATGAGATGGGTAATTGAGTTTTTGGTAATTTGATTTAGGGGTAACAATATCAAAAAGTTTGGGAACCATTGGTTTGAACGTTTCATACACGCATAATCAAATTCTGAATTCTACAATTTTAAAGAGTTTAAATCACACTTGGCATTTCAATGGTTACCCTCAAGTTTGCTTGAAGATGAATCTCCTTTATCTCTGAAGACTTGAAAATTACGGAAAGAAGCTCTTACTGTTCAGCTGATCAGTGCACATTTTATTTAACACAAATAGGTTTTTAAGATGAATTTTGGGAAATCACAATATTTTGCCTTCATGTATTTACTTGAGGTGACATAATTGACTGCTTTTCTGGTGCTTTATTTAGAGCCGATTAAAAATAAAAAGCTAACCTGTAATTCATAAAGATCATTGGAATATCTTCCATATTCTACCATTCCTCCAAACACAAGAAGTCTTGTTCCATCGCAAACGAATCCGTACGCCGCACATCCTGGTGGAGTGTCTCCCCGAACGGCAGGAATGAACCACTGGTTTGTGACTGGAAATAAACGAATTGTTTAATGATGAATAGAACTTATATATATCAAGGGGGAGCAAAAAGTTGATAAATTGTTTCAATTATATGGTATAGAACAGGGGTGGGCAAGGTTTCTGGACCTGGGGCCATAAATTTTGCCCACCTTGACTAGCAGGCTGTGTAAGAATGACATGAAAAATTACATTTTGGCAACGGATTTCTATTTACAGTGTTACAAAAGCAAAATTGGTAAAGAATAAGCCTCGAGCCAAAACTAAAGTTATTCGGAACCGCAACAAATTCCTTGAGCTATTTTGAGTTGAAACATCAAACTTTGGTTTTGGTTGTGGCAGCATCAGGGGGGCCCGAATGATTCATCCAACGGGCAAGATTTTGACTGCGGGCTGTAGTTTGCCATGTCAGCATGTCAGGCATAGAATAAGATTGGTTTGTTCAATATTTTGCTAAGCATTGCGGTACAGCACACTATCTAAATTCCAAGAATTTCCCTCCATTTGGCTCAATAAAACAAACACTCTATGTGTCTCACAAACGAGGGGGGTCTGGGAATACGTCAGATGCTTCACATCTCGCCATGCTTGTCTCAATAATAATCTAAATTAATCGCTCCGGTCACATGATCAAAATTGCCGTTTTTAGCTCTCGAATGCTACGGTAAAATTTTTTTTCCTTCGGTAAATCGGGTTATTTTTTTCCAAGGAATTCAATGATGTCGTTACTAGATTGCGCTTTTTTGTAGTATTTTGCGCAACTTCATTATACTGTATTATTACCAATATTGAGGGACAACAATGTCCAGACGTCTCCCAAAGGAGGGGTGTCTGATCATCTGTAAAATGGGTTTCTCTGAAGCGGGACAATGTCATCCGTTGGTGTGATATGAGGAATCTGACATGATGTTAACCGTGTAACAAGTCATTGCAGTCATAAGGTCGAGCAGTTATATCAGCTCTCCTCTCCCATTGGGCAAATATGAAAATCCTATCCTCTCTTAGTCGCCTCAAAATTACAGTAAGTAATAAGTTTATTTTGACTCCATCAGCATAAAGGACAATAAAATGAGTGATACAAAACAAAATACAGAATCAGGAAAACAAACAAAAATCTTAAGTAAGGTTTAAAAGGATAGAATTTACTCATTCATCTTGGGATATATCCCGTGCAGATTTTAGAAAAAATGCTGAAATATAACAACATAGCAGTGTCACAAGATTTTACAATCAGCAAAAAATCAAAAGAAATACCTGCATTATACACATGCAACTCATCGACAATGCCTTCATTCCCTCCTCCAAAAACCACCATTAAATTCTTGATAGAGACAGCCCTATGTCCATGCCTAGGTCTCGGTATAGGCCCTGTAGAGTTAGAAACCTTCTTCCATTTTACCAGAGGCGCATTCATCATTGCAAAAATAATAAATTACTCCTCAAAATTTAAGCACATAAGTGCACAATTTGGAATTTTATTGATTCAAAGTATTTCCGTATGGCGCATTGGAGTGAATACGCCAACATAGACAACTCTGCAACTACAGAGCGACATGCGAAAATATTGTACCCGCCAAATTGTACATGGGTGTTATTTTTTATTCTTTTTCTTCATAATATATAGTTTTATTTGCGTTTCATATTTAAAAAATTCAGTTGAAATTTTAGAAATATTATTAAATCATATTTGAGACATTTTTGATTAAATTTAACGTTAAATTATTTATAATTTTGAAATTTCCGCCATAAATTTGAGATGGCGGATACATCGTTTTTGGGTGCTTCTACGGTCGAATGACGTCGACCAATCAGGGCGTTAAATTATAAAACTCCCGGATGTTGTAAACATAGTCATTAGTAAATGACTGAAACAAGGATAGGATAGGATAGGATTTACATATTTATCCCGGGGGAGAGGAAAGCCGATAAGACGGCTTATCCATATGGCGAACCACGGCCTCTCGTCCGGTTACCATTCCAAGTCGGGTATGATTTTAATTCGGAACATGAATAAAATAGGTGAAATAATCAAGTGGAATTGATCGAAATACTCTTTTTCATTCGATGAGGAAATAAACATTTCATCAAACTAGCTGTATTTCTGGCAACGGTAGGAATCACAAGACGATACGACCGCTGGTCGGTTACGGCTTCCTCCACCATCAATTTCATGCTGCCGAAAACAAATAACTGGCTAACTAATCCCATACCCGACCTGGACTGGTAACAGGACGAGAGGCCGTGGTTCGCCACATGATTAAGCCGTCTTATCGGCTTTCCTTTCCCCCAGGATAAATATGTAAATCCTATCCCATCCTATTTGTTACAGAAGCATGGACTTTACGGTGGAGGAAGACATAACCGACCAGCTGTTACGTGAACCACCCTACGTCGCCGGAGAGTCCAGCTATCGCACATAATTATTCTCCACGGGATTCGAACCCACGTAGGGTAATCAGAGAGGCAAGCGTATTTCCAAAGCTTATAACCTAACGACGAGCCGAGTTAGTTTAGATATATTAAATGAAGTTTCGAAATAAATTGAATTTATCTTTATTGTATGAACTTTTCCAGGCAGTTTCCTAGGCTTACCATACGTCCCGCTTTAGGCGGGACAGTCCCGCTTTTTAGCGCCTTGTCCCGCCGTCCCGACAAGTCAGCCAAAAGTCCCGTTTTTGCGTTCAGACATCCAGCATAATACACGAATGGTTCCATTACATTTGAACCCACGTACATTTGAACCCATGACAATTGCACCTGTATGCTATTGCACCTATGAAATTTTTTTTGTTTCACGGATAGTTAAACTCATACTAACCCTAACCCATGGGTTTTAGCACCCGCATATAGATTGAACCCGTGGATATACGCATGGGTTCAAATGTACGGTCACCTACACGAATATGTTCTCGTTACTGTTGTTGCTCGTGTAGCGCAACGCTATCGTACGTACTGAAGGTGAATGCGCTGTTTTGTTTGTTTCGTTGTTTCCCGCTAACATTGTTAGCGAACGTATAATATGTTAAATCAATTATAATTGGTCCTGTTCGGACGTTCACGTGAATGTGACATTGAATGTTTTTTTAAAGGTATTATCTACAGAGAAGCATGCTTGGGCGAATAAGTAAATTCTCAATGCTTGGAAACGGCAGACTATTTCATTATTCTTTATTCCTTTTGCTGTACATAAAAAATCTAAAAGTATCAGTATCAGTAATTTATTTTTTCCACCATTTGAAAATACGCAAGCTACATATACAGAATAAAATAAAAGAAGAATAGCATATCAGGGTGGAGGGAAACGCTGAAAAACCAGTACTGGTTATCGAGCAGCGACACCCTAGATGGGGTCTAACAAAGCATGACGAAATAACATGAAATAGAAAGCTTAAAATGAATATGAATGAATAAATTTGGATCATTTGTGTCGTTAGCCTGTATTCCTTTCTATTTTTCAAACTGAACCCGATATTTAGACAGGGAATATGCGCATGAACTCTCGATGACAATATGGTCAATGAAGACAGCCGGGATGGCTCAAATGTAGGCATATGTAGTGAAATTGGAAACTGTAAAGTTACAGGAGGCGTCCCGCTTCAAAATGAAAAAAAATATGGTAACCCTATTTTCCCGAACAGCAGGGGGGAGCACAAAATGCTTTGGCAGACCGCAGACTGTAGTTTATCGATCTTTGGACCTCAAACAAATGCCAGTCTATGAAAACTAAATTCGGAAACGCCATCGCACCTATGATCACCCTGGAAAGGTTCAAATCCCGTGGGGGTAATTATGTGCAAATATAATGATGAATCAGACAATCGCTGGTCGGTTACGGCTCTCTAGGCTTTATATCTAACTAATAATTTGGCAACTATTCCCGTATCCGACATGGACTGGCAGCCGAACGAGAGGGTCATATGATGGAACTGTTATACCGACTTTTCACTATCATGGGATAAATATCAAAATTCCATCATTTACGGCAAACTCGTTTGTTTATTATTAATCTTAGGTGTCTGTGTGTGGTATTTGACAAATTGAATAAACTTTTCGTATTTTGAGGTTGAATTTCAAGATTTCAATAAATGTATTCCCGAGAAAAATTTAATCAAGTTATCAGACATATGCAACGTTTTCTAAACCGCGCGATTCCTTTGGAAAACTTATGCGCATTTCAGCATACGATGTCATGAAACTAGGTAGGCTACTTTGGACGTTATCTCACTTAACGTGATATCAATCGCACACCAAAGTAGCATCAATCGTGGTGCGATTGTGGTTTGTTTTTAATCTCATAAAAATCAGGTCCTGACCATAACTAACATTTAAATCACAAACAGTTGAGATCGCATATTAAAGCGGCACCATTTGCAACATAGGAAGTTTCAAAGGCGAACAGCGAGGCTTTGAAGTACGCGATCATAGGAATTCTGACATGGTTACAGAGACGGAGAGATAGAAAATATTTCTCCACAAAACATAAAAACAACATAAATCAATAACAATTAATTTTATGGGAAAATGGTTATTTTCACACCATTCCTGAAAATGACGTTTCCGGCACACAATTCCTCCATGTTGAAATTCGCTTCTTTTCTATTCTTCGAAATGGCCGTCAACAAATCTGTCTAAATCCTGGCGTGCTCGCCATTGTCACGGACGAAGATGTTGCTACCGTGGTTGTTAAGAAATCAGAGGACTCAAGGATTCCGGATTGGTTGTTTATTGTACGGCAACTCCAAAGCATATAACAGTCAAACAAATTGAACAAAACATTACTAGAGAACTAAAAACACGACCGGGCGCCAGCGCAGCGACCAAAGAAAAAAACGAAAGATATAGTTTTCCCCTCACGTGTAGTGAGTGGTCGAAGTCCAGATCCGACAAAACAGCATTAAACAAGGGTCTACATACCAGTTTATAAACATAAAAATATATATACACACAATATAAACACGGACACTTTCGTCCGCGACACATGCACTGGTAATCGGTCGAGAGGCCGTGGTTCGCCATATGATTATGCCGCCTTCATTTCCCCGGACAAATTGTCTAAATTCCTATCTGATAGACCTTACTCCGACCCAGCGATGAGCTGGAAAAATCGTAACAACCGGTACGCACCTAATTCGCGAAAATGTAATATATTCACAACACGACGCGGACGTTTACAGAACTGCAATGAAATGTGAAGATATGAAGTGTATTTGTGTAAAATTACAAGAGTATTCATGGTCGGGGAAACATCTAATACGCGTTACTGCTGTACTAATTATTTGCGTGATGTGACGTGCAAAGACTTAATATGATGTAACAAAACAGAAATTAATAACTAAGTTTACCAGAGAAACTAGACTTCCTGTACCATAGTTTTATTTTAACAAAGGGAACGCAATTACAGTAAAATGTCCAACAACCGGAACGCCTTTCCGGCTACAGCTCCGACCCTTGAAAGATTCTCCTCATATTTTATCATTGCAAAATTTTCACCGCTGATTTTCAGAGCATTTTCTAGAGTTGGCATTTACACACTGATTTTCATGATAAAAATTATCATTTTTATTAGAAACAATGAACCACGTGCTGCTAGTCTATTGCAGCATTTGCGGTATCAATTTTGAATATCGTTAAGTAAACTAAAGATCTTCAGAAGACATATTTACAATTAAATTAATTTACTACTTTTCGATAACGCAATTAAAAACTGAGTAAACTGTCTGAGTAGGAAGAAGACGTGTCTGGGCGGCCGCCTAAATTCCAATTGTTACGTTATTGTTAAGTTAATACTGATTTGCAGTGGCGGCGCGTGGTCATTTTGACAACCGGGGCAAGCTACTGCGGGACCAAGTCACCCCCATCTACGGGGACAGGATGAGCGCTGTAAGTTCTCCCATCATTTTATGGGTATAAAAACCATTCCATCGGTAACAACCAATCGGCAAAAACGACAATTTTTAACGATAAGAAAGCGTCTTTAAAACCGGTCCAAGTCAAGGGATTAATAAATATAGACATAGTTTATTTTGAAACCTCTTTCAAAAGGAAAGGCAATATTTACCCAGATAAATACAATGACATATTAACAGAAACTTCGGGAAAGCAGACAAAACCTAAAGTAAGGTTTAAAACGTTACTATGAAGAAAGGAAAGGTAATGCAAAGATAAGGACATGCGTCGCTCACTCATAGATATATATGCTGCTAGACTTCTACTGCTTGAACATATATGCAACACGCCGCGGTTTCTTGGAAGCAAAATGCTCAATAACGCGCTGATTAAAGTCATGCATCCCAGAAATAACGTCTCTGTGAATGGATAAAACAGCCAAGGAATTTAATCTATCTTGCTTCATTGTGTTTCTGAGATACGTTTTAATACGCTTCAGCGTGCTGAATGTTCGCTCTGCGTCGGCGGAAGAAATAGGCGTCGTCAAAATGATGTCCAGAAATTTTGCAGACGCCGCAAAGGTAGTTACTAGAGTGTTATCTATGAGGAACCCATAGAGCGCGCAAGTTGATGTGATGTTCAAAAAAGTTTGATTGGTGTATATACATCGCAATTCATTTTCCAATTTACCCACGTTTATCATGGGGTAAAATTTGGAGACAGTAGCCAACAAATGGATGGGAAATTGACGTGCAAATTTTGAAAAATTTTTGGGGTTCATCAAAGAGAACGCGGCAAGGCCAAGGTGTTCAGTGCGCAGACGATCGCCTATTTGATTCACCAGAATGTCACAGCATTCCTTTGCAGACAAAATCAAACGCTGCGTTGTTTGCCCGCGGCGTAAAGAAGCACTCCATGTGTCGTCGTATTTTATTGTTTCCCGGATACGAGATACAGCATCGCAGAAGTCTGAAATACACGACTGCACAGACACTCCATCCATTAGCCTTGACTGCAATGCGCCGTATAATACATCCACGTGATAGAATATTGTGGAGAAAAAAGCGAGAAAAAATGAAAACTCACCATCTTCTAGCAGACGCTTTAGACCTGCCGCCTCCCTCACAGAGCGTTCGTCCCAAACCGGAGAGCTCTGAATGCCATTGGAACACTCAATGAGCTCAGACCTAATTTCGGACACGCCCTGCACCACGCGTGATTGGAAGTTCCAACGTGTTGGTGCACAAGCTGGGAGACGGCGGCTACATATCTGGCGAAGGAGGTCAGCGCGCTTCGGCGAAACGGAAAAAAATGAAGAAAACCCCGAAACATTTGAAAAAAATATACGGACGAGAGGGGTATCAACACACATATTTTTAATAACGAGGTTAAATTGGTGTGCATAACAATGTGAAAAATGCGCATGAGGAAAATCCTCTTTTATATAAACTTGAACACCATGTTTCGACCCACTCATGACTGCCGCGCCGTCATAAGTTTGAGCTATCAATTTTGACTTCGCGTTGTAAGGCTGTAACACTTCTTTCAGTACAGCCGATATCCCGCAAGCCGTGCGATCAACGATTGGTACAAAGCTGTGAAATCTCTCGGTAGGTTTACCATCTTTCATAAACCGAAAAATCACAGCCAGTTGGGAAACGCACGTGATGTCAGTTGTCTCGTCAGACTGAATCGAAAGGAACTGGCAATTCTCAATTTCCAGAGCCAAATGTTGTAAATAAATTTTATACATTGAGTCGAGCAAATCATTTTGGATATCCTTAGATGTCCCTTTCGAAACAGTTGCGGCATCAAGATGATCTCTCAATACTGTATCTAGGGATGCGGTGTATTCCACCATATCCAAAAATACCCCTCTATGAGAAGAGCCAGCCCGTTCATCGTGCCTACGGAGGGACAGCTCGTTACAACCAATGAACTTCAAAACATCTATCAATCGACCGAGAACATGGCGGTTTTTCTCGACGTTTTGGTAAGATCTCTAAAACCAAATTTACACCAACGTGAGTCACGGGCGGTAGCAAAAAGTAGGCAATAAAAACAAAAAAGTGCATTTTTGTCCACGCTGTAACACAACCATTCGTGTTTTTTATACCAAGTTTCTGCGCAGAATGTACGCCGACGCTTTCCTCCGTCATGGGATTGTTCCAGTGAACAATTTTTTGGTTGATAAGGCCCAAGACGTTGTACCTCTAATTTTTGTTCCAGCGGCAGCTGCGAAAACGGATTGCGAAGTAGTGCATCAACCTTATTCATTATGAGGTCTAAGGCTAAGAAATGCGAAGCCGGAAAGAAGTGAGGAGCTCAAAAGGAATGTGAAAAATCGAAAGCAAATGGACTAAAGGTCCATAATTTCGGGGCTAGCCCCGATGATTTAGTAAAAGAAACAGAAAACAAACGAGACAAACGCGGCGAGTGGAAGATGAAAGAGAGAATACGATAACAATGAGCAACCGGGGCAAAATCGGCGTCGCCCCGTCGACGTTCGGCGAAGGCTTTGCGAGCGAAAAATGAACCATGTCGGGAGAATATGGCTAGACAGTCTGTGCAACCGATATTGAGGTATTTTTCGAATATTTTTTATTATACCAAAAATACAACCGGGGCATTGCCCCGGTTGGCTCTATTGACGCACCGCCACTGCTGATTTGTAATTGTTACAGTAATAAACAAGAAATCGATGCTCGGGGAAAACATCCATCCTCGATTCCTCTCACTAATAAAAGCCAACTATAACTAACAATCACCTCATCGTGTCACAAGCAACTTTTGAAAAATTATTTTATTAATCATTCAACTAAAAAAATACTACAATGATCATATAAAACAGTGATTGCACAGACATAAGGACAAGTACGGTCTAAAGAAGGCAAATTATGAAATCACAATGACAGCAAATGCAACGCTATGTTTCTAATAAAGTTTGAGTCATATTTTTAAACTCTTCGGATACGAGGACTCTGAATTTCTCAAGAGAGAGGAATTGGATTCTTCTATTGGTTAACACAGGGCTTCCCAAACTGGGTGGTCGCGAGCAGTGTTCCCTCTAAGGTGTGCGCGCGCACACAGCTTTCAGAGGCAGCGCACACGCATAGATTTACTGCGCACAGACATATTTCGATGTAATGTAACAATGGTTGGCAGGTTGAGAAAGTTTGTTGTTGGCCCACCCATTACCCAGTTAGAACGCCAAAATTTCTTCATTGGTTTTTGCACAAATATTAGTCATTTCCAAAAAAGTGCGCACACACCAAAATTTCTGCGCACACATACTACAAAAATTAGAGGGAACATTGGTCGCGAGCCCGCAGCAGGGCGCGCAAAGATTTAGGATTCACAAAGAATACACCAATTCCACAACATAGTACCAGATCTATTGTACTTTTTCAGCTCTTGATTCGAAACACAATGACTAAAACTAGTGCAAAATGAAAATCTCACGATTTCATGAGAACACAAAAGCATAACATGGCCGAATAATTCAGTGTTCGAATAAATGCGTTTTGCTTTTGTTATCGAGCAGGCCTACAAGAAGTTAAGAATGAACCGTGTCTATAAAATGTTGAAAATGCATATCATTTTAATTGTGAACAGAGTCGTGAAAAATTTCAACATATTGGAAGGGTCGTATGCTTCGAGTTTAGGAAGCTGTAAGTTAATGTCATGGCTTAAGGCAAAGATGCAACAGCAAAATTATTGAAACTTTTCCAGTTAGCCCCCTCAACTAATATTACTCCACCCTGCTTCAAAATAACAAATTAGTCCAGAGTTAGGAATGATTTGAAATTTGAATTACCAGCGCTATCTGTGGTCCCAATCTGAATAATCCGAGTATTCATTTATTAGTGGGGAGTAGTAACGGGAAAAGGTACATTTCATTAATGAATACATTTATCAAACTCATAACCTACATTCTCTCTCTCATAATAAAAACATGTTTAATTCGTTTCATTAAAAAGATTCCTGGAATACACCCTTGAAGCAGCACCATAAAATTACATTTATATGAAATAGGGTAGAACCGATAAAGTCATAAAAAATATATTGAAATTTGTATGCAACATGAATTATCTTAAATATTAGTTTACTACTCTATCTTGTTGGAGCGTAACAAAAATTACGAAACTTGCTGCACTCAACACGAATGTATTTCTCCAACATCCAGGTAAGGCCTTTTTAGAATATTGTATTTCAACCTTGAAGAACGTTGCAAACATACAGTAGTGTGCAGCAAGACCATCGAATCACATGGTTCTAGGAAAATTCAAAGCAGGAAATTTCGTCGCAAAGGAAAAATCAACTTATTTAAATTTATTAGCATACCCTAATCCTAGCCATATTTACCTAACTGTTTTAATCACAAATACTTGTTTTACAGCAAAATGCTTTTGCGATTTCTTCAATGCGGCGGAATTTCCTACGGCAAATTTTCCAGATACCGTATCACATAAGCTGACTAACTAAAGCATAGCAGAACTATATGAAATACTTTTTTGTCTCAATATGGAAATAATTACAGTGAATAATGGTTAGGAATTGAAATGAATCAGTAACAAGCGAATAATGTTAAATGATAGGTTCCTTAAAAATGAGGCATCCTGAAGGAGTGCGAGAACTGTACCTAGGGGGTGAAGGGTCGTTGAATCATTGAGATTGACCAAAAATTTGTGGACATCTAAGACATAGTGGATAAAAACAGTTGATCCTTCTGGTCTGAATAAGCCACTGCAAATAGCTATGTAATTCGATTAAATTATGTTATTCAAATGTCAGATACACAAAAAGCATTCAAAAAAATCGTTAAATCATTTTTAAGCAAAAAAGAAGGGAAAGTTGAGACCACTAGTCTAGTGTTTGCTCAGAATAATTCTTAATTAATATAATATGACATCATACTAGAATAATAATTAAGATAATATGACATCATACTAGAAACCAATTTCAAATATATCATGATAGAGGGTTGATATTTTCTGGGCTGAATATTCAATAAGGAAATTTTATTGAATTGACATTAAACTAAGAATGATTTTAAACAACACTTAATTAATTATTCGGTTCAAAATTTTTTTTGACATATTTTTTAGCAGAATTCCCCCTCACCTAAAAAATACTAGAGCAAAAAATTAATAATCCGGTAAAGGTAATGTGACCATCCTGATGAATTCATCGTATTGTACATGACCATTGATCTTGATGTTTGCAGCTCTGAACATTTGTTCAACTGAAAAAAAAAATTCATTTTGAACTCTGCATGGAATAAAAATTACAACAAGCAAGACAAACACACAGGGTTGAACCTAAAGCTTGCACTATAGCCTGTATTGTGCAATAGAGCAGAAGTTGGTTATTATTTACAGAACCCAACAATGAATTTATAAAAATAAAAAAAACAAATTGGTGTTTACCGATTAAATTTCCCGAGTAAACTAAAATTACTTTATTTAATGACTTGGATGTATGTTGCTTTGTATTTTAAAATCATCAGTATTTTAGTAAGTACACAGATAGCTCGTGGAGACCACTAGATGTCTCTTACAGACCCAGTCCTGGGATTCCATATGGAGCACTCGGAGAACCTATGGTGTTGGTTATCGGATTAGTCGACCAGTTATTTGTTTCAAATGCATGGAATTGAAGGTGGAGGGAACCGTAACCTGCCTAAAAGGGGGGGGGGGAGTCCAGCAATCCTCCCACACATAATTATTCCCTATGGGATTCGAATATTCAGAGATACCTACTATTCCTGAGCTCAGTCAAATTTATTTTTTGCAACCAGTAAAAAAGTCAGTTTTACACAAAATAATCAGAAAAAGGATAATCACACATTTTAACTGGGCTTTTCTACTTCATACATAGAAAATTAATCAATTAATAAATTTAGGGATGAATAAATATATGCTAGGAGATCTGAGAAATAATGGAATACTTGATAAAGGACATCAGGTACAATAAATTGATTAGAATTAAATTAACATATATACGGCTAGCGCACTGAGCTTCCTAACGCTCAGCGCGTTGCCCCAACCATCAAGCAGGAAACCAAAAATACAATATTTTTCATCAACATCTCTAACCTTCTCTCTCAGTCAGCTTCTCTCCAGTTTTCATCAAGATATGTTTGAGATGAGAGGCAGGAATTGTTCCTTTTCCACGTTCATCCGTCAGCTGAATTAAAAGTTTAAATTTCAATATTCAAACTTCATATGCTATGGTTAGTCTATTCCACTGGTTCTCAACCTGCAAGCCATTGCCCAATGATGGGTCACAAACCTAATTAAAATTATTATTAAATTCAAGTTCATTTGTGTCACTATTAATAGCAGTGAACCACGCTACAGTTTTTTGTTACAGAGTGATAATTTTCATTCTAATAATTACAGTGAAAGTGCCCATTTTTGCGGACATCAATTCATGCACAAAAAATGTTGATGGGCCACAAAATAAAAAGGTTGAGAATCGCTGGTCTTTATTTCAAGTTTTTTAGCAACTTTCCGCAAGAGCGCAAAAATCTATAGTACAATAGAGGGCATATTCCAATGTTGCAACCTATTATGTGGTCAACGACAACATTTGGTCATGCACAGGATAACAGAGTTACCCAAAAACAGAATTCACGTCATTTGAAACATATTCTAAAGAGACAACAACTGTTGTGCAAAGCATCTTAAATTACCAAAATCCTTTTGTACAATCTTACATAAACAGAAGTTCAGGTTATTCAAATTTTTTTCAAAAAATCTGAATAATTTTCAGTACGTAACAATAATAATCCCAAATAAGTTGAAAATGATAATTACACTACACGCAAATACAGCATAAATTTCTATCCCAGAAACTCTCAAATTTCTCCATGGGGAGGGAATTCCCCCTTCATTGGGAAACGATGTCCTAAGTGGTAATCTAATCCCTAGAAAACCCCTATGATACGCCAACCAATCCAATACTTCACCTCGAAAGCTTCGAAGATTTCCTTAGATGGATTCTCATGGGAGAGTTGCTCATGCATGATGGTCAGGAATTCTGAAAAGTCCATCTCATCCCGGGGTGCTAAATCAACAAACAAGAGATAACACAGCTCAATTTGCATTAGTTTTTATTGGTATTCCCTCAAAGCAAGTTCACAACACTCACTCAGAAGCGAAAGAATTAATTTCTGAGTGAAGTTAATGACGACCACTAAAAAGCAGGAGCAACTGTAGCTGCAGGAAGCTCATACCGGTGTGACGTCAAGAACTTAGGTACTCAGAAGCAAGCAAAGTTATGTGCACTCACTCAAAAGTATAGGAGACTTATATTTGAGCAAAGTTATGTGCATTCACTCAAAAGTAAAGGAGACTCATCCCTAACCTTGTGAAATTGTGGGCTGCACCTTTAATTATTAACATGGGATTTCTAGTAGATGCAGACACAAAATTTTTGATTACTGATCTTGTGACATGCGTTGCTCGCCTTGCACAAGCTCGAATATAGGCATTGCGAAAGAATTTGAATTACTCACACATACTAAATTAAATTAAAAACTCATTTCGCTGGCCACAAAAGTGGTGCTTCTACGTGTGCCGTACAAGTTTTCCTTTTGGCCGCGGAAGATAGCACACGTCTGCAATAAGGCATTAGTACACTGAGTTTGCTGACAGATTTGATCATCCTTAGCAGCTGAATACACTCGGTATATAAATTTACCTTTATTCGCAGTTTTCAGATGGGTATTCACTTCAGTGAGCGTCGGGTTTGAGCCGAGAGATCTCATCACCGTACAAAGATCACTGGAGCGTATCTTTCCGTTTCTCTTCTTGTCGTACAAACTAAAACACTCTCTGTATTCCGCTATTTGTTGTTGACTGAGATATCGAGCCTGTTTTAAAATGAAAAGTATTTTAATTTGCTTCACATTCTGGACAAGATCCGATACAAGCAGTAACAATTAGGCAAACTTTCTTTAACACTTAATATTGTATCTTACTTTACCTAAATCCAATCAACTAAAATAAACAACACTTACCATGTCTTTGTGTCTCTTGTTATGTAGTTTATCACGAAACTTTCAAGTAATTCTGATTATATTAGGTCTAGGACTAAAGCTGAAAGAAAACAAACAATTGTAATTAATATAACATTCAATCAATGCAAGAGCTTTAACCCAAAAGGGTTGAGGCTTGAAAAATCTGTTCTGAGAGAATGAGAGAAAATTATATATTTGTTTTCAACTTCTTTACTTATATTGAGATATTTAGTGAATATGACTTCGTTTGCATCTGTTTTGTTATCATTTTTTGAATAATTTTTTTTCAGAATTTGTACATTTCGCTGTTTCGTGCACAGAACCTCATATTTTTATACCTAAATCGATTAAGACCAGCAAGCCGGTGCTTTGAAGACAAAGTCTTTTTTCAATTTTTTTGAAGTTAAAATTTTGGAAGCCATGGATTTATCATGTCTAAATAAGACATGTTAGAGTTAGCCCGGAGGCGGGCAGAGTATTCTTTATGATGGCCGTTTCGAAATATCTTTTTGCGAAGGGTTGCATTAAGCAATTGATTGCGATTTTATAATTACTATTTCCATTCGCTATGATAGTTTCAAATTTATTGGTGGCTGACATTGCTCAACCCGATATGAGAAAAAAAATTGGATCGAATATATTTGTATAGAATATAATAAACACTTCCATTCGCTATGATAGTGTCGAATTTATTTGTGGCTGACATTGCTCAACCCGATATGAAAAAATATTAGAGATCGAATATATTTAAATAAAATTTAATAAACATTTTCATTCGCTATGATAGTGTCGAATTTAATGATGGCTGACATTGCTCAACCAGAGATGAAAAAATATTAGAGATCGAATATATTTGTATAAAATATAATAAACATTTCCATTCGCTATGATAGTGTCGAATTTAATGGTGGCTAATATTGCTCAACCAAAGATGAAAAAATATTAGAGATCGATATATTTAAAAAAAAAATTATTGAAAATTTCCAAATTTTGTAATAGGTATAGAATTATCATAGCTTTCGCTAAACACGGGCAGATGGCACAGGCATGTGGCCTGCAGGCTGTAGTCTCTGGTTAAACTCGTATTTAAAAGTGATGTAATTTTCAAGTCATCTGAGGTCTATATTATAAATGGCCAGCCAGACTTTGTTTGATTAAAGAACTTTACGCCCAATATAAACCTTAGTTACATGCATATAGGACTGTATATCATTGAACTTGGAGATAATTCAAACAAAAATAATATTCTTCTGCCGATTCTTGTCTTCGAGCACAAAAAAATGAAATCCTTTGGTTAATAGCAAGGTGGTCCAAGGTTGTCGACTCCGCGGGCCACAAAATTATTTTTGCATTGTTCGCAGGCCACAATAGTGCCATAAATAGATAAACAGTGCAATACAAAACGAACACTTTTATTGTGCAAACACATAGTTATCAGACATACACATTCTAGGCTAATAGAATCCGCATACGATTTTTAGTTTTCTATGATGCTTATATTGTTAGCATATATTCCCGACCAAAAAGTTAGAAAGCCAGATAACAATTTAGACTGCCAAGCACATCATTCAACTTCGCTAGTTTCCCCAGCTAGCCATAACACTATTTAATTCAGTGACATCAGTGATGGCATTATGTCAAAAGATTTTTCTGATTAATTTTATGACGAAACAACATGAAATGCGATTTTTTGATTATTCTCCGAATGTGACGCGGGTCACAGATAATATAGCGGCATGCTACATGTGACCCGCTGGCCTGGGTTTGGACCACCCTTGTCTACAGGCAAGAAAAAAATCATTTTTTTTTATATAAAATGCGTCATTTCGTATCTAATAAGTAAAGAATATCAGTACAACTACACTTGTTTTAGTTACGGGTTGATAAAAGAAAAAATTGTCCTGGAGCATCCCTACAAAATGAGCTGTGTGACTGAAAAATACAAATATCTTTCTTTACAAAAAATTACACATCTGATTAAAACTGTCAAAATATGAAAGAAACTTGTTGCTCAACATTTAGAAAATCATTCAAGTTTTATGCATTTAAAAAAATTCAAAAGCATGAAGGCCAAACCAGCTATAGTATGTATGCTAAGATGACATTTCAAAAACTTCCGAAATAGCGAAACCTCAACAAATCTATCTAAAGCAGAGGTTCTCAAACTTTAAACTAGTGCCCCCTTTTCCGAATTTGTCAAGTCTCGCGTCCCACCTGCAAATAACTCGTTTACATTAAGCTACGAATAACTGATAGTGAATTCAAAGTATGTTTTAATACTTTAAAATACTTAAAGAAGAGAGAACTTAAATATACAAAATAAGGCAGACGAGATCAAATTTAACAAATATTCTTAATTTTAATTAGCTTCATGTCCCCTCAAAAAATTTTGTACGCCCCTTTTGTGGGTCGCTCCCCCCTGTTCGAGAACCACTGGTCAAAAGGTATTAAGATAAAATTACTATTGTCAGAACCCAGTATGGCAGAAAGATAAAAATCGATAGTCTACTCAATGCGATTACAAGTTTTCTAATTTGGCTGATGAAAAACTATCGTGTTTAGGAAAGACATTTTCGGTGCCATTTGGAAATGCGATTTTGGCATCATAAAGTTACCTTGGTATGTGATTTCACTTGCTTGACATCTCAATAAACCAATGCATGCCGATTTGATGTGCGCTTAATTTTAAAATGACATTCGCATAGAATTCACACCCCAACCCTGCCATCGTAAGGTTATAGACTAGTACAAAAATCATCTCTCAAAATGCTCAAATGCTGAGATAGAATAAGAGTGGGAATGAACACAGTATACAAATTCTACTCAAGGATTGGATCGCCATACTTATTATATCTAACAGGCCTAGATGGGGCACTTGAGTCTCCTAGTGGCGATGTTTCAGAATCATCATTTGCGGGAGAGTTTTCATTTTGTCTCTTGACATTTGATTGGTTTAAAAAGCCAAGAGTTTCTTGTTGTTCCGGTTTAGTAGGTTTTAAAGAACGCTCTTCTCGATGTTTTTTACGCAATTCTTCATAAGAAGTATAAATTTTCACCGGCTTCGTTCCAGAATCTGGTTCCATATTTTTCTTTTCATATTCTGAGCCAGTGTCAAAGGTCACGTCATGGTTCAATTCATCTGCAGGGGCTTCATTCGACAGTGAACGACTTAATCTAGCTATGGCTTCTGGTCCGCCATCTTTAAATGCCTGTACTTTCTGTCTCAAAGGTGAGGACTCGGGTAGTTCGGTTAGAATCCGTTGTTGAATAACTGGGAGGTAGGAGATCTTGCCAACAATATTCCCTGAATGGAAATTAAATAGAATATGATAGGATAGGATTTACGTATTTATCCTGTGGGAGAGAAACGCCTACAGGACGGCTTTCCATATGGCGAACCATGACTTTTTGTCCAGCTACCAGTTCATGTCGGGTATGAGATTAGTTTGTCAGTTATTTGTTTTTTGGGAGCATGGACTTGATGGTGGAGGAAGCTTTAACCGACCAGCGGTCACATGAACCACCCTGAGGGGGCGAGAAGTCCAGCAATCCTCTCTCACTTGACCATCTCGCATGGTATTCGAACCAGCAAACTCATGCAGGGTAATGAGAATGTATTCCTAACATCGTCAAGCTAAAATATATAGCTATATATATAGAATATGATAATTGTTGGATACAGATATCAAACCATCAAACGGGGTCACGCGGCACTTGCCATTACACACTTTGTAATTTAATGTAATTTAATATGTAATTTAATTTAAATACAATCAACTAAACATTGGGCTTGTCACCTTTTTGAAGATGGTTTTGTTTTGCAGTTTAAACTAATTATTAATATTATATTATTGATAATTAGTTTATACAATTCTTCTCACAGCCTTGTTACACCTATTGCACATATTTTCTCCAGCCTCTGAACAGTATGGCACAGTTTTCAGATTCCAAGAAAAGAACGCAATTTTGGTCATATGCCAGCCCAGTCTGGGTCCAATGAACACAATCAGAAAGCGATAAACAAATTAGTACATGGAACAAAAAGCCTGGCATGTTTCATGGGTTTTGGTGTGTTTCTGGGGCCGAAAATTCAGTTTGTAATGTTAAAACTCATCAGCACTGTTTTTTAGTGGCTGTTTCATTTCACCACCTCTGGAATGACACAGTAAAAAAACTTTTTTTAGTAAATGGGGTTATTTTTTCCAGAGGAATTTAATGATGACGTTTTTATATTGCGCTTCTTTGTAGTTTGTTGCACAATTTCATTTTACTGTATTTTTACCGATATTGCGAGTCAACAATGTCCAGACGTCCCCGAAAGGAGGTGTGTGTGTCCATCGGCAAAATGGAATTTTCTGAACTGAGACAATTTCCTGCTATTTGTAAAGTGTGCCGTACCGTAAAAGCAGGTAACTTCGGATGCCTTGTAACTTCGGATGAAATTTTCAATCGTTCATATCTCGACTAAATAGCATCATATTGTGCATTTTCTATAGGGAGTTCTTATATATCTCAATCTGTTATCATATTCAATCGCACAGTTTAATTTATTTTTTAATTAAAATAATCTCGTTTTAGCATAAAATTGACACTCCGTTTTCGAGCGGCTCAAATCACCACTCGTGACGTGGATTGAACATCTGGCATTTACGCAACTAAGTGAAGCGTGTTTTGTCTTCATGCACGCAATTTTCGCTCGGGTTGCGGTGACGCAGGGAGGTGGGGTCTGGTGTAGTTTCGTACCTAACGTACTTCTAGTGGGCGTAGCATGACAATTTTTTCACGTATCATTCCTAACAAAAACGAAACTTCATGAGACACGGGAGGTGATTCTCATCCGAAGTCAGATATTTAGTGATGTAGTGAAAAACCAGACTGGATTCCATGGCAGGTGCACGCCCGAGGGCGCTAGCGCTCCGCAAAAATGCACGCGAGCAAAATCAATTTTGCACGCCGAAAATTTGCAATTGCTCACCAATGTAAATCGGTTTAAATGGTTTTAAAATCAATAATCCAGTAATATAAAGATGCCAAAATATTATAACTCCACAATTGTCGACAAATACCAGCTTGCAAGATTTGGTCTGATCGAAATATTGCGAAGCAAAAAGACCATGGACCTTTCCCCAACCTTTGACCCGCGAAAAATTCCTCTCATTGTTACGTCCTTTTTTGCATCTTGCTGATTGGCCAATGTCACGAAGTAAACAAGGAAGTCGATGCTCGGAAAAAGGTCCATATCGTGTTGAATGATAGGAAATAGGAATCCCGTGAGAATAGTTATGGACGAAAAGATCGCCTCCGCACCAATGGCCAAGTACGGCTCTGATTCAGCGTATTTTTCATACAATAATTTTACACGAATGTACTGAACAGTACCGGTATCTAAAGTTGCTCAAACACTCCCAAAATTAGTGACAAAGTATGAAAATAATGTTTGGGGTCAAAGGTCAAACGTCCATTTTGCTCTAATTTGACGTATTTTTTATCCATTAATTCTACGTAAAAACACTACCAAAATTAATGACAAAGTATGTCCATTTTGCTTTGGTTCAACGTATTTTTTATCCAATAATTTTACGCGGATGTACTGAACAGTACCGGTATCCAAAGTCGCACAAACACTCTCAAAATTAGCGACAAACTGTAGAAATAATGTTTGGGGTCAAAGGTCAAACGTCCATTTTTTCTCTGATTCAACGTACTTTTTATCCGATACCGGTAATTTTACGCGGATGTATTGAGAGGTATCTGATGTCAAAGTCAGTTGCACGCGAGTGCAGTTGTTTTGCACGTCGTGAGCTATAATTGCACGCCAGGAATTCTTATTTGCACGCGGGAATTTCTGATTGCACGCCCGATTTCTCGTTCAAAAAGGCCATGAAATCCAGACTGGGTGAAAAATGAAACAATTAAAACAGAAAAAATGATCCTATTGACGAGAAAATTAAATGCTCGCGCAGAGAATTACATCAATGTAATATATTCCAAATTTGACACGAATTGGAGATATTGATTAAAGTATAGTGAAATCATCCGAAGTTACCTTTTACGGTGCTGTCATTAAGAAATCAAAATGCAAGTGAATAAAAAAACATCAACAAATGTAATCCCATACCTGAAACGGCCCCAACTATGGCAAGAGCAATTCGTAATCTGGAACTTTGGACTTTTCTAGTCGCAATAACAGTCAGCCCTCCTGAAATGAGTGCGAGGGGATAACCTCTTGTCCATGCAGACTCGAGACGAAGTCTTCTTAGCAAATCACTCTCCTCTGTGGTCAAAGATTTAGGACTCATCAGATCGATGCGTTCCTCCGAGCCCTGACTATTTACTTCTTGTTGACGACCTGACATTTTGATATCAATCCTCAGAGCAAAATGAATTATCGTACAATACAATCTTTTTTTTTTTTTTTTTTTTTTTTTGTGCCAAATAAATTCCAATGCCAAACGGAATTTTCGTATTAATATTTTGGTATCAAATCATTTTATTATAAATATATAAATAGATATTTTTTTTTGTTTCCATGTTTTTGTTTATCATTTTTTAATTTAATCCCATTTCCCCCATACATATGAATAGTAAAAATCAAAATAAAGACAAAATTCATACCATTACCATGATGTCATTAATTTAATATAATCCAATATATGTCCAAAAAAGTTGAGTTAATCCACATGTAATCCACTCAGCAGTTAGTTGAATATAATTTTAATTTACAGGTAATCAGTTTTTATTTTAATTTTTTAGTTAGCATGAAAAATACAAGAATACAAAAATTAGACAGAGAATATGGAAAAATCCACGCTTTCATATTGGGTTTTTCCCATTCGCCATCTATGTTTCATAGTCGATACATCTTCCTCTTATGAAAATGATGTACAGATAACATACTTTCAATAATTTTCAGAGTATGGTGTTGCATATAAACTTACATCATGATTGACCTATGTAAAAGATCATCCATGTGCTCATATAACAATAACTCATTTCTTTCGCTTGCTTTTAGTAAATTTAAAATCCCTACCAGTTTACACTTGAAAATTGAACGCATACTACTTTTCATTTTATCTATTTCATCATATTTTACTGAATTTCGATATTCCCAAATTGTTGATTTTCCGCATAATATTGTGATTAATTTTGATTTGCATTCCGAATCGTTTGCTATAATAGTATTTTGATTAATATCTATGCAACACCATTGCCAAAAATCACTAGACCAGTCACATTCTAAAAATAAATGACACACAGTTTCTTCAACATTATTTTCACATAAGACACACATTCCTGGTTCATCAATGAACCAGTGTTTTATTTTGTCTCCAGTGGGCAACCCATTATGAATTAACTTCCAACATAACTCTTTATACTTGTTTCCAATATTTATTTTCCATATTTTATTCCAATTAATTGCCTTAGTTAGGTGAAATTTATTAAATATGTATTCCTTATGGTTTTTCAAAAATGTATCATTTTTCTTACTTTGTAAAATCCTATAAATTTGATTAGTGGTCAAGTCTTTCGACCCATTGTACCTATCAATTAATATTCTTGTTTGACCAAATTCCCTATTCCTTGATAGAATCTCTCTCCATTCTATTGGAAGTGCTTCCCATATTTGCCGTAATTCATTTTCGCACTTATTTATCAAGCAGTTTTTTCTTAAAGTACTTATTGCAGAGTTTTCTAGCTGGGGGTACACTCTTTTGGAAATATCATATATTGTTTTGCCAAAGATATCACTAACAGTAATTATTTTTGCCTGAACCCAATTTGATTTAGCAGTTATTTCAATATTATTTCTATCTAATATTAGAGGATTGTGCCAAATTATTTCCTGTGATATTTCTGCTATATTTTGTGGTTGATTCCATTTTAAGCCAATTTGTTTGAATGAGTTGATTATACTAGTATAAAATTTCGGTATATGTATATTGGTTTCCAATTTAAAGTTCAAATACAAGCATTCTAAGTTACCTTTCGATAATACATCAAAATAGTTATTTACAAAATACTTTGCTCTCTGAGACCATGGATTATTACAACCTTCAAGCAATTTTAACACCCATTTTACCTGTAAAGCTTTAATTTGATTTCTAATGTTCATCATTTTCACCCCTCCTTCGAAAAATTCGCTACAGCTGATATTTCTATTAATCATTTGTGCTTTATCATTCCAAATAAATTTCCAGATTATCGTTTCCATTTTTTGAATATATTTTTCCGGCATAAACTCAAAACTAGCCATATACCATAATTTAGACAGCATCAAAGATTTTGCAACATCAACTCTTCCTATAATGGTCAGATTTCGTCCCTTCCATAGGTTTACAATTTTTTGAACATTTGCAAGAATATTAGACCAGTTTTTGTCTCTAGACTTTTGGGAGTTTCCTATATTTATTCCTAATAATTTTATCTCTTCCCTTTTTAAAGCAATATCCTTATAGGTATTATTTATTTGCCAGCTTCGAGAGGATCCACATAATAATATCGTACATTTATCCCTATTAATTTTTTGACCTGTACCACTTTCCAACATCTCCATTAATTTTAATACTGAATCTACAGACGACATTGACTCAAGCATGAGTGTTATGTCGTCTGCAAACCCATTATACACATCTCTTTGATTCGTGCAATTCTTGAATCCGATAATGTCTCTATTGCATCTTATATTGGTTGATATTAATTCAGAAATAAATAAATATAACAATGGAGAAAGTGGACATCCCTGCCTTACCCCCCTTGACATAAAAATTTTTTCTGATAAATATCCATTTACATTTATTCTAGAAGACGTGTTTTTATATAAAGTAATTATCCAATTAATAAGGTATTTTCCAAATCCAGATTTTTTTAATAATTTAACAAGTATATCCCTATCTACCATATCATATGCTTTTTTTTGATCTATCGAAAAAATAAGTAATGGTAAATTTTCTTTATTTGCCCAAAATATATCGTCCCTAATCGAAAGAAGATTTTGATGAATTGATCGTCCAGGAACGAACGCAGTTTGATTGATGTCAATTAGGTCTGGTAATACAGTTTTAATTCTGTTCGCAATAATTTTAGCTATTAATTTGTAATCAAAATTTAGCAATGTTATAGGCCTCCAATTCTTTATGTCCTCCTTTTCTCCACTTTTATATATTAATGTTATGACTCCCGTTATTGTATCTCGGGGCATTTCTCTCAGCTGGTGATAACTTTTATATAGCAACATTAATATGGGTTTTAATTTGTGCCAAAATTTAGAATAAAATTCTTTTGTTAATCCGTCTAAACCAGGAGCTTTATTTAATTTGAGTTCTGTCATGGCATATTCAAGTTCATCACCCGTTATTTCATTTTCTAAACTATTTTTTTGGTCATCTGTTATAAGTTTATGATAATTCCCAATTAATCTTTCTTGTACACTAACATCTAATTCAGTATCCTTGTGATATAGATTGCGATAAAATTTAACAATCTCATTCTGAATTTCCCCATGCTCATGGACAAGAAGACCGTCACATTTTCTTATTGATTTGATCATTTTAGCTTTAGCTCTTATTTTTTCCAAATTCAAAAAATATTTTGAGGATTTCTCTCCCTCCTCTGTCCATTTAATCCTAGATCGAATTATTGACCCTCTTGTTTTTTGTTTTATATGCTGTTTTAATTCAGTTTCAGCATCTTGTAATTTGATTTTAGTTTCCTCATCCTCCGCTTATCTTTCCATTTCTTGGAAGCATTCCCTATATTGATTTAGTAATAAAGTTGTTTTTTTGTTTTCCTCATCTTTTTTCAATTTAGAACAATGAATGGCCCAATTTTTGATTTTCTTTTTACAATTATCCCAGAAAGAACCTCTTTCTGTTTCATCAATGTTTTTTATATCAAAATGCCATTTTTTCAATATTGCTTTTATTCTTAGGCAAAAATACTCATAATCATTCAACTGAGAATTGTATTTCCAATACCCGGGTCCATGTTTTAAACAATTCATTGAAGCAATTTTTAGATATACCGGATGATGATCCGACATGACAGCTTCCTTAATCTCAATTTTACTAACATTCGCAATTTGGCATTTCGAAATGTACCATCTATCTAATCGACTCTTTGAAACAACGTTTTGTATATTATTGCTTTTTTGCCACCATGTGTATTGCTTTTTAGTTTTATTACTGTTTCTCCAAATATCTATCAAATCAAAGGTTGTAATAAACTCATAAAGTTTTTTAATGCTATTATCTACTTTGTATCTTATGCTAGGATATTTATCTTCTTTGTTTAAAACACAGTTGAAGTCACCTCCAACATAAATTTGGTATTGTGAATTGGGATTTTGGGTTATACAGCTTTCTATTTTATTTTGCACTGCCAAAAATAATTCACTTCTTTCCCTACATCTATTTGGGGCATATATATTTAGCAAGGTAAAATGTTCATCGAAAGACTTCCACCTAACCAATATATATCTACCAAATTCATCTAATTGTACGTCATCAAAAGTTGCTTCTATTTTATTTGATAGCAGTATCCCTACCCCACTAGAAAAATTAGAAAAAGTTGTCCAAATTGCATTACCTCCCCATTCTTTTGTCCATTTTTTTGCATCGTCTTCACTTCCGCAGTGTGTTTCTTGAATGAATGTTATGTTTGATCCAATATTCCTAATGTAATCAAAAATGGATTTGCGTTTCTCGAAATTCCTCATTCCATTTACATTATAAGTTAAAAGAGTAGTGTAGCTGGCTAAATTCATAATTGGTCTCCACTAAACAATACATCCCTAACCAAAATTTGGCATCGTTCCAGAATGAACCTTCTAAACAAAAAGAAATTTTTTCAAAAGTACAAACTATTCTGATTGTTCCATATTACTGTTGTACCACTCTTTTGGTTCGTCTATTTCGTTATTGTCCTGTATAATTAGAATGGGCTGTGTGGTATCATGAGGTTCTTCTTGATTTATTTGTTCAGGTTGTGGGGATTCATCATTTTGTTGTTCTTTTTTCTTCTGCTTGGTTGTTTGGGTGGGGCTTTTCTCATGATGTCTCTTGAGATTTACTTCTGTTCTTGTATCACATATATTAATCACACTATTAATCTGTTGAACTGTTATGGCAATACCCTCCCCCTTCAGATGAATCAAGTCACTTTCAAAATAATTGTCAATAATTCTATCTTCTGATATACATTCAGGTGGAGTTATGTATATCACATTTGCAGCCTTTGATTGTTCTTTTATAACGTTATTTATTCTATCACTTCCATCTCTTGCTTTGTTAAATCCATTCTTCGGCACTATACCACATAAATAGACATTTTTCGAGATTTCTTTCGCTCTTTTGATCACACATCTCACATGTTTTTCCAAATCATCATAGGGTCCTTTATAAACATCGTTTGTACCAGCGTAAATCACCAAATCATTATACTTTTCCTCATGCTTTTTGAGAAAATTTTCCAAATTTGAAAACCTACCACCCTCCACATGAATAGTTTTGACTTTATTGGTATTCATTTTTGATTTCATTCGTTTTACTTGTGAGTCTCCAATGAATAATATTTCTTTTTTCTGTTCTGGGGTGTTTTGCTTTGATGTATTCGAATTTACTAATTTTTGCCTTCTGTATTCTTCCTCAATCTCTTTTAGTACTTCGCTATTCTTTTCTCGGGGGTTTATTTCTTTTGTTGCAGCAGATCTCATTGAATTCTCATTTTGGTTTTCTGGTTGTGTTGTTTCATTTGTAACTTCCATATTTGCATCATTCGTCATGTCTTTCTTTTTTCTCAAACAGTCCTTTTCTAAATGTGGTTTACCCTCACCATTGCAATATCTACATTTCCTTCTCCTTGGACAGTGTTCCACGTCATGCTCTACTGAATGGCAAATATAACACCAATGTTCAAATTTTTTGATGTTTCTTGGCCTTGTTGGATAAAAAATGAATATTTCGTCTCCTGTGTATTTGGCCGGTAGCCTGATTTTTGGAGGTATTTCATTTTGTAAGATCATCTGACATCTTAGTACCCCATTTTCCACTCCATCATCATCCGCCATTCTTTTTATAGTTTTAACCTCACCAAAATTGGAGAGCAATTTTGAAACTTTTTTATTCGATATTTCGTCCGGCATTTTACTTATTGTCACATTTGTAACATTGGAAAATACTTGTTCAATTTCCGCTTTATATTCCACTTCGTTGTGTTTATATTTCATTCCCTCATTTAAAGATTTTTGGAAGGATTCTTCATTGTTGAATTCCACTCTCCATACTCTGTTGTCTAGAATATACATACTTTTTATGGTTCCCTGACCAATTTGTTTATATATCAATTCTTTTATTTGTTCTCGTTCGAGCCAACGGCTGTTATTGAATCTTATATTTACGGTGTTTATTTGCTCCACATATTCATCATCGTCATCATCATCATCATCTTCACTCATTTTGGTACAACACTCACTAAACTCTGAAACTAGTATTACTATATTATTGGCCTTGGACAGCAATCAAATCAACAGCAATACAATCGTACCGGCAACCCTAGCAAACCCAACTACGTCTAATCGAGCCAGATAAAGTACCTGTAAAGTACCAAATCGAGAAATCGCCTCCGCGAATTACTAGAGTCAAAATTTAAGACTCCGGAAGAAACTATTTACTTTTACTATTTACTTTTATTTAAGACTATTTACTGCTTGTTGACGACCTGACATTTTGATATCAATCCTCAGAGAAAAATGAATTATCGTACAATACAATCGTACCGGCAACCCTAGCAAACCCAACTACGTCTAGCGAGCCAGATAGCCTGTACAGCAGTAGTCACCAAAGTGTGGGTCGCGACCCCAAGTTGGGTCGCCTTGAATATTTCGGGGGTCACCGAGTGTCCGGCGTTGTATTCTTGTTTTATTTTTCATTATTCTATTGCGTGCATTCTACACTGAGCTGACTGGCACTACATAGCAAGTTTGGGTATTCTGAATTACAGTGATATCTTTTATAATAAAGCTATTGTTTGTTTTTTTAAAAAATTCTAACACGAAATCTAGAGCAAGTGAAAAAAATTTTGGGAATGAGATTTTACTGTGATTAGTTTTTAGTGGTTTGAAATATTTTTTTCCTTGTCATACCTTGGGGTCACGAGCTTATCATACGTCATAATTTTTAAAATGGGGTCGCGTCTCAAAAAGTTTGACGACCACTGCTGTAAAGTACCAAATCGAGAAAATCGCCTCCGCGAATTACCAGAGTCAAATTTAAGACTCCGGAAGAAAGTTGAAAATGTTTATTTTATTTTACAAATTCCATAATACACACATATTGAAAATTTGAATTCTGATATGTAAATTTGAAAAAGTTAAAACATTAAAAATATCATGCGCACACACAAAGAATTTGGCGGAAAACACAAATCTGGGTAAACGAGGTTTTGAGTCATAAATAAAGAAACAAGATACGCAAATGTATTTATATTAATATTTAACAAAATGAAAATGAAGTCAGGTCCAAAAAGAATTTAACAGTAATCGGCTGATTTAAGTTTTGTGCGGATCAGTATGGACCCCTGATTAGAATCACCGACACCCCTTGCCCATGGGTACATGGTAAGTATATCAATCATACGGATATATGATTAACAAAAAAACTAGATTAAATATATTTAATTAAAAAATAAGATGAACGGAGGTTTTCTTTCCAACTCAGAGTTTACCTCTGATGAAGGTCTATGACGCAAAATGGAAGTCGCAAAACGCGGCAATAAAATCGTTCTGGGAACGATATCGTTACAACCTCACGCCCTCGGGGAACTAAAATATTCTAATAAAATAACCGCTAAGAACCGCGGTGTGGTGCATCAGTACAAGTGGGATTACGCTTGCACGGCACCTCTGATCACCCTGCGTGAGTTCGCAGGTTCGAATCTCTTGCGGGGGATTGTTGGACTTCTCGCCACCGTAGGGTAGTTCCCTACGTAAATGCTGGTCGCTGGTTCTCCACGATCAAGCCGTTGCATATGAAAAACAAAGACCACTGGCTAACTAACTAATCACATACCCGACATGGACAGGTAACCGGGAGAGATGCTGTGTATATCTTATCCTAGTCAAAGGGGTAAATTTGCAAAATTATTACTTTAATTTTGTCTAACCCGTCAGCTTAAATTTTGAACTGTAAATTTGTCGCTGAAAAAAATGATACTAATATGAATCCATTGGTTTTTTTATACAGGATGTTAAAAAAGTGACGCAAAACTAACACAAATCAGATGAACTGCTACCTAAAACATTTAACGACTGACACCTTTTAACAATATTGAATTACGGTGAAATGCCATTTCACTCCCGATTCTATAATCAGTCCTATTAATTTTGTTTTTATCCATATTTTATCGTCTATTATGCTTAATTATGAAGTCGATAAAAACCTCTAGTTATTATACCTATTTTATCACTATTTTTTAAAGTCCCGGTATCTCATTAAGTTTGCGCTGCGGCACGTGTTTCACTTACAGATTACCTTATTCGCTTCTGAGTGAATGCGCCTGACCTTCGAGCAAATTAATTTATATATATATACCACGAATCCCACTTCATATGCTTACTCTAACCATTTGACCAAAGTTTTATATCTAATCTAATCCAGAACGCAGAATGAACCCAGAACGCACCATGAACCCCACTTCATATGCTTACTCTAACCATTTGCCTAAAGTGTTATATCTATTCTAACCTAGAACACACCATGAACCCCACTTCATATGCTTACTCTAACCAATTGCCTGAAGTTTTGTATCTATTCTAATCCAGAACGCACCATGTACCCCACTTCATATGCTTACTCTAACCATTTGCCTAAAGTTTTATATCTATTTTAACCTAGAAATCACCATGAACCCCACTTCATCTGCTTACTCTAACCCATTGCCTAAAGTTTTATATCTATTCTAACCTAGAACACACCATGAATCCCACTTCATATGCTTACCCAGACCATTTGCCTAAAGTTTTATATCTATTCTAACCTAGAAAGCACCATGAACCCCACTTCATATGCTTACTCTAACCATTTGCCTATAGTTTTATACCTATTCTAACCTAAAACGCACCATGAACCCCACTTCATATGCTTACTCTGACCATTTGCCTAAAGTTTTATATATATTCTAACCTAGTACGCACCATGAACCCCACTTCATATGCTTTCTCTAACCATTTGCCTAAAGTTTTATATATATTCTTACATAGTACGCACCATGAACCCCACTTCATATGCCTTCTCTAACCATTTGCCTAAAGTTTTATATCTATTCTAACCTAGAACACACCATGAACCCCACTTCATATGCTTACTCTAACCAATTGCCTGAAGTTTTGTATCTATTCTAATCCAGAACGCACCATGTACCCCACTTCATATGCTTACTCTAACCATTTGCCTAAAGTTTTATACCTATTCTAACCTAGAACGCACCATGAACCCCACTTCATATGCTTACTCTAACCATTTGCCTATAGTTTTATACCTATTCTAACCTAAAACGCACCATGAACCCCACTTCATATGCTTACTCTGACCATTTGCCTAAAGTTTTATATATATTTTAACCTAGTACGCACCATGAACCCCACTTCATATGCTTACTCTAACCAATTGCCTGAAGTTTTGTATCTATTCTAATCCAGAACGCACCATGTACCCCACTTCATATGCTTACTCTAACCATTTGCCTAAAGTTTTATATCTATTTTAACCTAGAAATCACCATGAACCCCACTTCATCTGCTTACTCTAACCCATTTGCCTAAAGTTTTATATCTATTCTAACCTAGAACACACCATGAATCCCACTTCATATGCTTACTCTGACCATTTGCCTATAGTTTTATACCTATTCTAACCTAAAACGCAACATGAATCCCACTTCATATGCTTACTCAGACCATTTGCCTAAAGTTTTATATCTATTCTAACCTAGAACGCACCATGAACCCCACTTCATATGCTTACTCTAACCATTTGCCTATAGTTTTATACCTATTCTAACCTAAAACGCACCATGAACCCCACTTCATATGCTTACTCTGACCATTTGCCTAAAGTTTTATATATATTCTAACCTAGTACGCACCATGAACCCCACTTCATATGCCTTCTCTAACCATTTGCCTAAAGTTTTATATATATTCTTACATAGTACGCACCATGAACCCCACTTCATATGCCTTCTCTAACCATTTGCCTAAAGTTTTATATCTATTCTAACCTAGAACACACCATGAACCCCACTTCATATGCTTACTCTAACCAATTGCCTGAAGTTTTGTATCTATTCTAATCCAGAACGCACCATGTACCCCACTTCATATGCTTACTCTAACCATTTGCCTAAAGTTTTATACCTATTCTAACCTAGAACGCACCATGAACCCCACTTCATATGCTTACTCTGACCATTTGCCTAAAGTTTTATATATATTCTAACCTAGTACGCACCATGAACCCCACTTCATATGCTTACTCTAACCAATTGCCTGAAGTTTTATATCTATTCTAACCTAGAACACACCATGAACCCCACTTCATATGCTTACTCTAACCAATTGCCTGAAGTTTTGTATCTATTCTAATCCAGAACGCACCATGTACCCCACTTCATATGCTTACTCTAACCATTTGCCTAAAGTTTTATACCTATTCTAACCTAGTACGCACCATGAACCCCACTTCATGTGCTTACTCTAACCAATTGCCTGAAGTTTTGTATCTATTCTAATCCAGAACGCACCATGTACCCCACTTCATATGCTTACTCTAACCATTTGCCTAAAGTTTTATATCTATTTTAACCTAGAAATCACCATGAACCCCACTTCATCTGCTTACTCTAACCCATTGCCTAAAGTTTTATATCTATTCTAACCTAGAACACACCATGAATCCCACTTCATATGCTTACTCAGACCATTTGCCTAAAGTTTTATATCTATTCTAACCTAGAACGCACCATGAACCCCACTTCATATGCTTACTCTAACCATTTGCCTATAGTTTTATACCTATTCTAACCTAAAACGCACCATGAACCCCACTTCATATGCTTACTCTGACCATTTGCCTAAAGTTTTATATATATTCTAACCTAGTACGCACCATGAACCCCACTTCATATGCCTTCTCTAACCATTTGCCTAAAGTTTTATATATATTCTTACATAGTACGCACCATGAACCCCACTTCATATGCCTTCTCTAACCATTTGCCTAAAGTTTTATATCTATTTTAACCTAGAACACACCATGAACCCCACTTCATATGCTTACTCTAACCAATTGCCTGAAGTTTTGTATCTATTCTAATCCAGAACGCACCATGTACCCCACTTCATATGCTTACTCTAACCATTTGCCTAAAGTTTTGTATCTATTCTAACCTAGAACGCACCATGAACCCCACTTCATATGCTTACTCTAACCATTTGCCTAAAGTTTTATACCTATTCTAACCTAGAACGCACCATGAACCCCACTTCATATGCTTACTCTAACCATTTGCCTATAGTTTTATACCTATTCTAACCTAGTACGCACCATGAACCCCACTTCATA